GAGGAAGTTCATCAATAGAAATGACAGCAATTGCAATGTACTGCCTCCAGCATTACCGGTCAGTCCTTTTCACCTTATCGCGAGCCATTTGAGCTACTTACACACTACATAGGTGTAAAGGGCCACTGAGAGACAGGAGTACGTTTATAACTAATAATTGCGGGGTCAGCAACAAGGACGGAGTGGCCATCAACCCATCTTTGAGCTGACCACGTTCGTTGTGGGTGACATTCTGGATTTACCCGTTGAAAGCAGTAATGGGCAAACTTTTAAAATAAGCAGCAGTGCCGTAGCTTAACTCTGAGTTATATATAGTTGAAATCAAAAGCCTACGGTGACCTCGGAAATCTGCCTCCAAACCAATGGTATGTGACCATTCATTCAAGATCGTCTTATCTTAGGGTTTGACTCCCGTGTCTCACTTAAGATTCCTACAACAAAGTGTCTAAGGCAGCTTTCTGTCATGGGAACGTAAAGAACGTACGTAACGTGGATCGAAATTATGCGCTAAAGTGACCAACAGCCACATCTTGACGGTTAATTTACCTGGTGCTGTAATCTCCACTGTGAGACACCCAGCTTCTACTTAGCAGAAAGGCCTCGACGCCTTCCTCATTGGCCTTTGGTTCAAGCCAGTGTTCTTGGATTTGTCTTTCTCACTCGCATCAGTATTGTTGCTTTGAACTTTTTTGAAGTTTGCTCTCTACTTTGCAAAGCCAATAACTGCCAGTACTTAACGTATTGGTCAAAACACCCGCCAACTGCCTGCTCTCAAAAACGGCATCGGGATACAATAGGCAGTCATATGCAAACAAATTACAGTTACCAATAAACACAGGAAATGTACCGGAATACTGGCAATAGGGGTGCATCCATTGACGGTTGGTCAGGTGATGGTAATTGGCTTGAAAGGGCTTTGTTATCAATTGAGGTGAGATCAGATGCACCTTTGGGTAGCACTCATGAACTCGTGTCCGTTACGTAAGGCTGCGCGTGTAGAAACTTAATTGGGGGAGAATGGTGGAGGTGATTAATCTGAGTGACCTGGGTTCCACTATATGAAACTCAGTGCATATCTGATTTCGGGGAAGAAGCATTATTCGAATAACAGCTGAAATGGATGCCGTCTTTCCACAAAGTCTATGTAAAACACACAGGAGACTTTTCCATATATTGAAGCATTGTAGAGGAATTTGTTCAAGCAATTTTTTCCCGAATACCGCTGTGCTGTGTTGCACAATTCCTGCTTTGCTGGTTTCCTTGAAGTTAATACGGAGTGTTGTTGGGGAAACCAACTCGGTACATCTTGGTAAGTATATATTATTTCGTGAAGCGACTCTAGTCTGTTTTGTGTGCAAACTCTTGTCAGGTAAACATTTTTTAAACGAATGAAACGGGCGCTAGATTGCTCCTCAGTTACCCAAATCACATTGTTATCATTTCTACATTTAAGCTTGAGTATGTTTGTTCTACAGTGTTCTAAAAGACTACACAATAGGCGTTAACGCCCTATCTTCCGCCAGTTAACGGAGATGCGCACCACCGTTTAATTGCTTAGAGCTTTAATTTGCATGTGCCTAAAAATTAAATCTACTCAAAAGCACTTGGTTACTGACAAACGGCATCAGAAGTGGTCTGCAGACTTAGATTCATTAGGCCACGAATAATCCACCGGAGAGTAACTTCGGAGCGTAAGGCTTCGAAGAACTAAGTAATATTTGCCCAATGATCCTGTAACGCACGGCATACTGCAGCATGTGTTTAAGCAAGTGCCAGCAAAGGCAGATCCATGGGAAATGAGATGTTGCCTCCTACAGTGAATCAACGGCGATCAGTGGTTTTTCATTCTAACAACTTGTGACTGGCGTGATCTACGCCTGTTTAATATAAAGCTGCCTTGCTTCCTTGCTCCTCACTCTCCTGGTTTTCGCTCCCGCTTGAGGCCTGCTTACCCTCTAGAAGCTGATATCAAGATTTCTGTCTTCGCTTGCAATTTGGTATCAACTCAAGTGTCTGTTATGACAAAAAAGGGTCTGCCGGAGACCAAACTCGTAACAACTCGGACGGCAGACGAGTGCGCTATCCGCTGAGTCAAACCAGGTTCCGCGGCAGTCCTATTTTTTGTATTTCGTTTGTATTGCATCTAACCTGACAGTATTGAGATTTTGTTTTAAACGGGACCAAGCGCGTGTTTCGACATTTCACGTGCTGCTGCATCGCGCCGTCAGCTAAAAACTGCAGATCCCAGTTCATTATCCACTTCTTTGGGGTATCGCGAGGTCTTACGAGGATCATATTGATGATCCCGTGGGTCTTTCATAAACTGCCCCTAAATTGATGGGTCACTTGTTAAGGAGTTTAATAATGCTGAATTCCTTCATTTCGTCTAAATACGCACACATGAACCGTGGAAACAGCTGAATCAATTGACTAGACTTTGGGCAATATTTAGCTAAACCTTGAACTCTTGACACGAATATCCTGCTAAACTATCAGTATATGTAGTATAGTGATAACTGAATTTCAGATAAAACGCCGACAGGAGCTTGACAGTAGTGTGTATTCGTCCATATCCATAGCCACCGGAAAGTGAATAGTGAATCCCTTAGCCCTACACGCATGTGCTCTTTTGTCAAACCTACACGCACGTGTGTGAAGAAGATATGTACCGACTTATTGGAGAGAATATAAAAACAACTGTTGATACTGCTTCTCACTTAAGGCATATTCAGAACACTGAAATGATGTCTTACTCGGATGATTAAAAAACATTTTTTCTGCGGAGGGCGAAGATCCTCAACTCATGGACCTCGTTCTCCAAAACGTTTTTGCATAATTGATGCTCCAGACTATCCTCAAATCAACTACAATCCACATGCGAATAAATACGAAGCAAACACAGCACATTGGAGTGTCGCATTTTGATTTATTTCCTAGGTGGCAAGTATCAAATTCGGCAGCAACAATTGATGAGTCGTGACTTGAATGAAGACAGTTAGTACGACTGTGAGTAGGACGTAATTGTGACGGCAATCTGTCCCCACGGCAAAGTCGAGACTCTTTCGATAGCAAGCATTTATCATTAGCTGCATCATCAGTACTAGTGTTCTCCTATAAAGCGTTTCATGGTCTTCGGTTGTTGTGTACCTGTGGTATTAAGAGTATGCTGTAATCTGCTAACCGCTCTTCCATTAAACGCCAAATCCTTTCCATCAATTATTCACCTCACTTCATCAGCAATTCCTCAAAAGAGTAATTTTTCCAATAAAATCAGTGAATGTGTGTGATGTAGCCCACAAATTAGTTGAGGGCGTATGTATTTTGTCAAACATAAAGGCCATCCACCACGCCATATGCTGGAGTACTTCTGCAGCTGTTCAGTGTGAGTTCTATACACCCATGTGATGAAAGGAAAAGATAAAGTAAAGATTGTTGGTAAAAGTCACATGATGTGACGCTACTCTTGGTTCTCCAAATTTTCTCCACTAGAACAGACTAAAAACCTACCTTTCTGACTCCCCTCCGACAAAGACGGACAAACTTTGTGGCACACGCTCTTCCAACAAACATTGAAATTCAAGTACCTGCCAACACAAGTCAGTAATTTTAGATCCCTCTGCTGATAGCGCTTTCACCATGGCTCGGTGTCTCCAAAGCATCCGTTAAATGAATGTTCCATGCGCCTGTTCTCGATAAATTCTCAGTGCATATTCTTCTCTTCCCTGCATATTAACCATCCTTGTCACTGAGCTTCATGAATGAAATTTCGCATAATGTCTCCATTTCCAATGATTCGCCAGGATACTTTAGTTTGGAGAATGCCTATGGTAGAATAAGCCGCTACAGATTTTCACTTTTGCTAAATTCCTCTGAAAACTAGCAACTCTAAAGTGCATACATATATGGACACGTTTTGAGGATACCCAGTGTGTGTATCATATCGACCACTGACAGGAATTGCAAATTAAAAGCGACCGGCGGAGTTGCGTGTGCTAAATCACTATCCCCTTTAACCGGGAAGCAGTTGGGAAGCCACCATTCGGCCACGTCATTGTGAACAACAAGTCATTCATGACAAGGGTTAGTCAGCTGTGGTTACAAATATAGCACCATCCGCCACTAATTTGGCACTGTCACCAGGCGAAACCAGCTGTCGCTCATCAGGTGAAGTGTTCTCTCACACTACAGTAATTGGGCTTCATGGTGGTTGTGGTGGTTTTTTAAGAAACGAATGTGAATTTTGGACGGGAAAAACGTCATTCAAGTCTCATTTAAGTAAGCTTGAGTGTTGTCCTAGCCATGAAACACTCATCTAACCAGACTTAAGCGCGTCAGTAGTTTGCCTTCTACTTCGTATGGCATTATTTCAGAACATCTCCTGGAAACGAAGTGAACGTCGCTGAGGGTACTCAGCCTTGTTAAAGAAAAACAGAATCCCAAATACAACCAGGATGGAGAGTCTTGTCGGAATACCTAATGAAGGGAACAGCTAATAATGCTACCCTGTTGACGAGTTTGTTTAGTTGATCGATTTCCTAGAATTCTGTTGGATCAGACCGACGTGTGTGACTATGCAGTAGTCCTTTTCACTGATGGAGACATCTGTGACGGATGCGTAATACCTGCAGCGCTATCTCAGTAGTAGACGTTTGTCGAGACGCTGCCTCTCATTGTCGCGAGTAAGAATGGTGAACTCAACGGCAAGCTATTTGTGGGGAATCAGTATTATCGCGTGATAGACACACAAGGGAAACACTTGACCAGTTGTAGTATACCAAATGGGTTAAGGTTGCTATTCACACGAACAAACCGAACGAGAAAAATGACTGTATATTTCGTAAGGTTCTATTTAAGAAAACACTTCAGGACGGAATGGGTATGTTCTTTACAAGTTTAAGTGGGCTGTGTTTTGACGATTTGCATGTGTTGGTGAATTGGCTACACTGAAACACTCTGTTCGACAGCTGACTACCAAACCCGCTCAAGTGGCCAAGAGACAATCTTTGCTGACGATCACGCTTTTATTAAAAACAACATGGATGAACAAAGCGGTCAGAATAGAAGATGATTTAGGTAAACGATCAAGCGAACGGTCTGACAGGAAGATTTCATCCCATCAAGGATAGAATGGACAATAGTAAAGGCCTGCGGAAGATCACTAGAATCCATTTAGTGTGACATCGAGGGTGAATGTTCTTACTGATAACCGTTTTGTACGAATCAATCTAAAATCATTCTCTGTTTTCCCATAGACATTCCAGCCTGGGATGCTCCTTTATTTGAACCGTATTGCAGGCTGACCACGTTGGCAGCTTCTTTCAGCTGCTGTTCGGTGAATTCACGTTTGTTTTCTTGTGCCAGTTTGGGTCCTAGTGTTGGGCCGGTGAAATCATCGTGGATCTGGCACTACAAAAGAGCGAGTTCGTAAAGCAGATGAAATTCACAATTATTCGAAGTGAATGATACTAGATATCGCTTTTGAACATATTTATTAGGATCACATTTGTGTGCGTTTTGACATCTTTGCTGTGGTCAAGTGAACAGGTCTTAACCTAAATAACCTGAATTGCCAGTTAGGTAGTGAATTGGGCCAAAAAACTGTTCCCGGATGAGTATGAATTCTACTGTTTTTGACAGAGTAGTGTCCATTAGTTGGGATAATAGGAATGGCTTTAGAAGTTAATGCATTGCCAATAGGAACCGCTGCTAATGCAGAAGTTGGATTAATGGAACTACACAATGTACCCAGTGCATATAACATTTGCTTACCCAGTAAATCTTTCATACGGTGTGTTGTTCTGGGGTGACTATTCCCCTTGGTTCGAATCCCACCTCTGTCTCTCAACTTCCCCTGTTTGGCAGTATCCCAGTCCTCGTGCTTCCTTCTGGTGGCATGGCAGTTAGGCACCGAAAGGGTGCTACAGCTGAACAGTCGCCCGTAACGTAAACTGTTGTTCATTTCCTAATAGTACTTGTAGCCCGCATCTCACCTCTTGGGTCATCATACTGGAGGCAGATCTTTTGACACCAGATGGCTCACACCGTTCTTCTTTCGTAGCTGAATACACTTAAACATCGTATCAAGCCTTTATTAATCCATATGAGTTGTCTATCCTGCTGTAGTGAGCGGTTTCGACTGGTTTCGATAGCAGCCGTTATGTGGACTTCTCATCTAAATGCCTGTGGATTTACTACCGAAGGAGACATGATCCAGGCTTGTTGGCAGTGTGAGCTGGCTGAACTCTCTCTTTATCATAGCCTTTATTCACACAGAGTAATCCTCGCACTCACTAGGCTTCTTCTGAGAACGGTTTCTCCTGTTCTGTCCGTACACCCTTATGTCACATGTGTGCCTTATCCATAGTTAATGAAGAGAGTGGAAGTCACAGACAGCGATCACAGTGGCTTTCTAAAAGGGCATCACAAACCACCAGTTTCCCTTAAACTATTATCAGCAAATGCTCTCTCTTTTTAACATCACCCTGCTGAAGGATGGTTTCATTCTGCGGAGTCTAACTGAGCTCTGTGGCCTACACAAACAAACCTATGGCAATTATATACACTGTGATAATCTTAATGCGCCAAAAATGAAATGTACTGCTTCTTAACGTAGTAACCTTGATTAGGGTTTGTGTTTCCCTTTAGCTGAACAGTGCGGCCTTATGTAAGCTTCAAATTATGTTCGGTATATATGTAGTCGAAATTAAACCCGGGAAAGCAACCTTGTTCTTGGACAGATGGCTTCTACAGCCTTTGAACTGTTGCAACCCAGATTTTGATTCATCCTTCATTTGCAAAGGAGAGATTTGGAAAATGTTACAAACGGGGTAGTCATCTTATGATGAAAAGCCGAGGAATATTGCGTAGCTATTCGATCCTTACTGAAAAGAATCAACAGTGGGCATCTCACGAAACTCAGGGGGAGTTCTAACCAGTCACGTTCTGGATAGTAGTTCGAACAGTTCGCCGTTCGGCTACCAGTGGCTGATTAGCAGTGTGATTAACTCGCGCTCAGATATTTGCACCACGTTTCTCGGCTTTTTACCATAGATCGGCTTCATTCGTACGACGAAATCTGCTTTGAAACTTCCCACATCTCATCACGCTACCAACAATCTGTAGGTGGCTCAGAAGGATGAATAAATCGCACGACGAGTGTTGCTCGTTTGGAAATTCGTCCCTTGAGAAGTAAGCGACATGTAATGTGGACACTGTAACTGAAGTATGGGTAATGATCTATCCTCACTCTCAGTCGATCAGCCACTCGTCATTAAACGGTTATTTTCGAACCACCAGCCCGAAAAGTCAGGAATTAAATCCGTCTGGTGCGTACTGCTGATTATTCTCAATAAGAATGAAACAGCTATACAGCGATTCCTGTTTTTTTTAACGGAGATTCACTTCACTTACAGGATGAAATTTTGATTGCGGTGATAATTAAGGACTCTTTCAAGGTACCTTGTCAAATTTCTGGTTCACGACAGGTAAGGCAGTTGATTTCATTCAAAAGTGAGGGAGAGTTAACAAGTTTCCTGGAATCGCTTCAACGAGTCAATCACCATCTCAAACCCACCAGAGCACTAATGATCCGAAAGCACAGTATGTTCTGATGAGATATTTTGAGGACGGCAAGAAAGATGACTTGTTTTGCTCGTACGTCGATTTTACTGAGAATCTAACTACCCTAGGTAAATGCGGTGAGTTGCTATTGCATTTCTGAACACCGATACACACAACTATGGATAGCACCAAGCTAACCAAAAGCCTGGTGTGAAAGCTAATATTCGACAGTGTTATTATTGCAAAACTTGTAAGTGACGAAAAATTCACTTACCGTCCTTCCCAAAGCAAATATGCACTGCGTCACTTGAGCAATGTCTTTCTTCTCAAATAAGTCCACTGTTTGGAACACGTCCGAGTTGGGCACGCCATATGCTTTAATGGCTTCTTGGAAAGCGTTAATATTTTCCATAATCTTGAAAGGCATTGTGGAGTTTTCATTGATTCTCTTCACACTTCCCGGTTTTATTTTGTTTATCAGCCTGATAAAAAAAGACAAAAGTTTCGTCCAATAAGTGATTGCACATATTTAGAAAAATTCATTGAAAAATGGGCTAAAAATTTAAGAAAACGGTCCATTACGAAACAAATACCGGGAGAAGATAGGTCACATTTGTCGGACATTTTGTTCACCTACCCCATCAAAGACGGACGCATTTGGACGAACGGTTATTGCTCAGATAGTGGAGGATAACGAGATTCATTATTTAACCATGAATGATCATGACCTGCGGATGCACTGTCTACCAAATCACACTGTCCGCATTAAAAAGCTGATTAATTTGAAAATGCTTCGAACCGGATTCTGTTTTCTGTTTGAATTTGAATTGAACTTACACCGACGGGGTTCCAGCAGAATGCTTGATCACCCTAGACTTTTTCTACGGTCATTATACAGTAATTAGTAAGCTGAAACAACCCATTTTTTGGGCTATTAGGTGACATTTGCAATCGCATTATTCCAAAGTTTTCACGCGAGAATATCCCGATTTTGTCTCTTTCCAAAGAAATTGCTGGCCAAATTTATAAATGGACCATTTAGGCTACAATAGTAACTATGTATGCTACAGGAGATCGAATTAGCTCAACGGTAAAAGCACGAACCTACTAATTGGAAAGTTTGCACTTCCAACCAACCCCCAGCATCTCAGCCGCTTCTGTCTAAACTTGAGCAATTTGACAGTGTCTCAGCCGTCGTTTCTCCTTCGGGTGCGTTAGCATCTAGGCAACGAATGTGCTACAACTGAACGGTTATTATGTTTAATACTAACACGGGTGATATATCTTGAATTTCCGGCACACGAGACAAAAAATTGGATGCAAAAGAGGATGAACCAATACGCGTCCCTGGAACTAGTCATTTGTTTATTCTGAAGGTCTGGATTCTTGGATGAAGGCCTGAATGTTGATATCTGTAGTCAGGTGAGAAATGCACAACTTTAGCTACAAATCTTCATGGTTAGTCTGATGGCGAGTCTGATTACCCCGGTTTACAAGCAGAGACAAACTTAGCCAGAACCTCTTTGATGCCATGGTTGTGTTGTTCTATCTAAACCGCATGAGTTCCTCGTCTTTGATCCGTACTGATTGCATAATTTTGTTTTAGAGTAACTGGGTTCAATTCGGTGAGACTCTATAGTGCTTTTGAAAAGTCTGGTTTTCAGTTGATCTTGCCATGTATGTACTGCTGAAATTGCTGTGGATGGAGTAGCATTTTGAAGGTTTGTGCATGCTCCCTCTTAGTCGTTGCAAAGAAATAAGAATGAAGATAAGGAAGGTATATGTGATAGACAAGTCAAAGATCGCCGTACGGAGAGCAGGTATGGGTTGATATTCGTCAGCGTTAGATGGGAGACGCACATAGTTGGGCAACTCAGTGGGAGAGAATGAATACATTTCTATTGTGCATACAGAAAAAATGGAGAAGAACAGATGACGGTAGCCTTAGCAACCGCTTGAGTATACAGACTGATCACTTTGGACTGATTTTGGGGTAGGAGACTGACCTTGCGCAGTTGAATGTGCAATGTCAACTAGGTGCTTTGAGGTGGGAAATTAGATGCGACCACCGCATAGATCAGACGACTGACTTTACTTCAGAGTCAGTAAACAAGAGTGCCCAAAGTGATGGAATTTGGAAGGTGATGAGATTATAAAGAGTCCTATCTTATTGCACCTAATTGACACTGTTTCAGATTGTCTAAAGAATAAAATATTGTTTCATAGTGTCCGACTACATAATAGCGCGGTTGATTGGGCTACCACCGTACATTTTCTTGTACTCTAATTGTTTGTACAAACGGGGATTCGATCAGCTCTATTCAATGATCTGGCCTAGTGTTGTTCGATTCACGTTCACATTCAAATCCATACCGCGCCCCATAGGTCTGCGTGTAGGTGATCTGTGACCTGTCTGCCATACACAGCGCTCATGTTTACTTTACTGTTTTGGCAACATTATTATTGCCGTTGTGCCCATAATAATATGTTCCGGTCAGAAGACGAATGGCCGACGTTTATGCCCGGTATTTTATATTAGAAAAAGGTAGCGGCGGACCCAGTGCATATATGGTTTGAAGTCAACCGCAACGAGCATCAACAATCGTACACCCTATGGCCAATAGATTAACAAGTTGCTCCTAGATATCCATACTATTACTTAAATGAGGGTAGAACCTTTAGGAAAGACTAAGATAGTCTGAAACGCAACGCAACAGCGTAAAAGCTACGTCTTCAATTGGCAGTTGAGGCTTAATTGTTTCAAACTTGTTTCCTAACAAGTAAAAAGCAATAGAAGCATTTCACAGAATTTAATTTGACTTTAATGCTTCCGCAGCACGATAGACTGACAGGTTATGCGCAGTGATTGATGGTCAATGTATAGTAGTGATCGATTAAGTGCATTCACCGGGACACTCCAAATTCTCAACCAGCGCGGATTCGTCGTGATCAACAAGAGTTGTCTTGTCCACTATTATTCGGAGAAAATGATCGCACCAGAATAATATTCTCTCAAATCCGGTGACAATAGTAAAAAAACTACTGTGCAAAAGGCCGAAAAGAACTGAGAAAAAGGAGGAAATCAGGTCATCATACTTTCGGCACATTGCCTTGCAAACGCAAACAACATACTAGTCTAGATTAGAAATCCCATTTCACAGGGAATGAACAGTGTAAATTGGATCACTCGGGGCCACTTACGGTAGTGTCCAGGAAACATTTGTAAATGGAAGAGTGTAACGGTTCGGCTCATGCTACAAACTTCGCATGATCAAATTGTTACAATAGAATAGTATGGGCTTAAATCTCCAATCCAGCCCATCTCATTTGGCTGAAGACACTGTCTACGATACAATTTTCGGAATCGATTTAAGACGAACTAATTCAAAGTTGCCTGGTGAGTAAACGTTGAGTCAGATTCGACTTTAAAATTGGATCAGCTGTGAGAATTCGATAGCCACGAGACCACCCATATTGAGGTTTTTAGTCTATCATGGCTTCATAGTTTGAACTTTGATACCTGATAAGCTTGCTACCTTCCCGCTTTCTAAAAGAAGACTAGGAACCATGATGAAGGTGGCTCACAGAAATAGACTTCCTCATGAATCAGCAGGCTGTTTTGCATGTCCGCATTCACTAATTTAGCTTCACAAAAATGCAAAACAAAGGTGCGTGCAGAAACAATAAATATATACATATGATATGTTATGCATTCTCAAATAATCCCACTGCGACGAGAGTCCTGTTTCAACGAGCGGCGTTTCGTTTCTACAGGGGACCACAAACTTCGTGCCATGAAATTCCTCTTGGGAGAGGCAAACCACAGAGGGCTATGGCCACCAAGGCTATTTCGAATCATGTTGTACACGGCAAAATTAATCAGTAAACACCTAGCCATTCGCTGGCAGTCAGAAGTACGTTTCACTTCTGAAACGTACCAACTGCCTTATTGAGCACGGAATATCTGAGCAGCAACAAAAGGGGAACTGAAGAGAATAGTTTGCTTCTGATTGAGTTGAGGTATACTGTACTGTTTCCGACTTCAATCCATTCGTTTCTATCATAGAACTCCAACACTTGGAAAAACCTGCCTGGATGAGAGGCTTCAAACCAGTTTTGGTGAGCATGTGACATATTCAGCCACAACGTCGCATTGTCCTTGATTCACTTCCTCTACGGTGGCATTCTCGGCAGTTGGAACTACAAACTAACTGAAGCCACTTACAAGGTTGCTGAAAACTCTTCGACAGCTCACGACCGGTTTTGTTTTGCCCTTCTTGGGGCTCATCAGGTAGGCGTAGTCCCCGAATTTTCGGCAACCTTATGTTCTACTTGAATCCAAATTAGATTGATTGCGATACACTCGGGAGACTCAAGTCTTCCGCTGGACTCTCCTACCTGACACGTAGAGGAGCCAACAAACGCGGAGGAGAACTGTTAAACGCCGAGTAGTCCCACGGATTGTCACGCGTTTGATGTGCATTATGTCGCTACTGGAAAACCTCTCAACCTTTTGAACTAATTCAGAACTAATTCCTTTTGGTTTAGATAAATAAGTCCTACCCTGGCCATTATTTTATATACCCAACTTAGTTAGCGATCTTTTTATTATCTACACCCAACACAGCTTATTTTTCTCTTTTGATCTTCATTTTTTGTTAGCCTAACCGAATAGTGAATTTAGTGAAGTTTAATCAGTGTGGCAAGCTATAATTCTCTTCTTGAATAGCTTACCTAGTACAACATCCCTAAAACGGCTCCGGTAAACTGGTAATTCGGACGAACCATTTTTGTTGGTGACCCATTAGATTATCACTCAAGTGTACCACATACAACAAAATGAAAGCAATCAAAAGATAATTCCAGGAAAATTTTGCATGGAGAACGTAGTGGCAAATCGGCGCTACTGCCAAACCATCGATATCTGCCATATATTCATTAACTTGTGTCTACTCATGAGTAACCACAAATTTATCAAGCGCTTCCCACGCAATGTTCTCAATGAACTGATTTTCGGCGAATTATACAATTACAAAGTAGATCCGACAGGGTCTAATCAACTACATGAATGCCAGACAACTAGCCATAAATGCTTCTGAACGTACCCAGAACTAATTAATTAATTAATCAATTAATTAATCGGCGAAAATTGGTTTTCTTTGACGACATCGAGGCGAACACCTTGAATTTTATTTTAGTTAGAGAAATCTGATTGATTCGCTTAAATAGTAATGGCCAGGGAGGGAACATGATAATTTTAGCCCGTTGCTGTCTGAAAGAAGTCATACGCGGAACAATGAAGCTTTCTTGTTCTCGTGGAACAAGTTCCTCTGTCTGAAGTAAGCAGATTTCCAGCTACAAGACAGGGCGACAAATAGTAATACTTTGGATAGTGGGGCTAGAAATTACATTTTTAAAGCATTTGAAGGCCACATATGCTCAGGATCCATTGCGCTCCATTAGCGCAAATAAATGAACGGCCGACAATACTAATGGGCAGCGCGCACGTAGACTTCATACTTCTTCACATGCTCCACGATTCTCCCGCGAATTCAGTGGTGTTCTTCCATTTAACTTCATACAGCATACATGCGGTGCTATGCTTGATAGGCAAAAAACGACCCAAAATCCGTCAGAATAGGAAACATAAAAGCTTACCTTTGCAGTTCTTACTGTTTGCTGCAGCTTGTACAGTATAAAAGCCCAGTCTTTATGTACATAGGGGAAGGCTAATCGACCATGAAGGACATTACTAACTATCAAGACCACTGGTACAAATATTTCCAAAGATAATTTTACAGATTGATCAATGAACACATTTCCAACGAACACTCACTTGCACAGAACAACTCCATCTTTCAGAATTTCCTCATATGCCTTGGAACGATCAAGTTTTGTTCCCAAAATAGCCTCAATCCAATCCAATACCTCGGATTCTTGCTGGCGGTCACGTTTCCCCTCTAGCTACAATTAGAGAGAACAGTAAGCAGACGATGAACAGGTACGAAATTCTTGGGGGGAAAACACAGCGACCAATATGTGGCCAAGATTCCTGACCAGATTCAGGCCATTCTAGGTAGGGTTAGTGTCAACGTATGGAGAGGAGTACGATGACGTTTTCCATCTAGTAATTTTATTCTAACTGAAGCATAGCAAGAGTCGGGTAATATGCCGATGATCGCGAACAAAACGTTTTCCACCATTAGAATCTGAATGAACAAACAGCTAAGTCCTGCGAACGGTGATCAGTATGGTGTGAAGATCCAAGATTAAATACGAGCAGCAAACGAGTCAGTAGATGAGTGGCGATCAAAACAACGAAAAGTTTATCCCAACTGCCACAGCTCGTGCACGGCATAATCGTTATGTGCGATAAAGAAACTTGATTCTAACATCCACATCATTTATTAAGTAAGTGAACCAATATGTATTGGGTTATTAACCTGGCAGGTTTGACCCTCTAGGTCTTTATTCACTCTCGCTCCATGTTTATTCGCAAATGATATAGGGTTGTTTTTTAAGATTAGATAAAAATTACTGATGGTCAAAGCTTCCACTAAATTAGTTAACATCTAAATTTGTTCTGGCCCCGCTAAATCCTGTACCGAGTGTACGTTGGTTCCAGCTTCTACAGTAGCGGTCATTTGAAAGTGGGAAACCAGGCAAGTTCAGAACGCGATGAAATAACAAAGACGAAAAAAGCACATGGTCCGTAAAGCGCATGAAAAACGTGTATCACATAGGGATTTGTTCTTCAGATATAAACAGTGGACAATCGTGGTTGCATAAACAATCTGGTTTTTTGGCATTGTTTTTCTTCGGCACTCGTCTGATGAAGATGCACGAAAACGGCTGGAAACCTTTACACTTTTATTTGAACAGCAGTTTCGTCCAAAAGGGAGACTCAACTGAATCGAACTAAATTCCGTCCAATTTGGGTTAATGCAGAACGCAAAACTGACGAAAACTGGGGGACTATGCCTACCTGATGAGCCTGAAGAATAGCGAACTCGATCGTGCGCTGCAGAGGGGCTTTCAGTAAGTATCTCTGAGTAGGAAACCCTGTCCACCAAAAGCCGGCAGTTCAGGTGTCTTACCTTGCAAACACAAGATAGACAGAAACTTCTAACCGTCATCTATCGGTTTAAACAAATGCTGATTAGTAACTCTGAAAATCTAGATGAAGGGCGTTTGAAGTTCCCTAAGATGCCTTCCATTTCATTTGCAATTAATGTTGGAGATTCAGTTTATGTCGTTCATTTAGTGAAGCTGGTATCATATCTGCACCCGATATTACCGCACTCACATTCGAAAGGGGATAAAGTTGGCTTGAAACAGCAACCTGTGACTCATCAAGAAGCGGCAAAATGTTCCTAGGACGTACATTGGATTTTCTTGCTCTTCTGAAAGCGGTCCACCTGCCCAATTGTTGTGTGACTTTTACTTCCCCATAATGCTAAACATTGGATGCAAGTCTTAAAATGATATGCTAATGGTCTAACCAAGATTCCAGTTTTTTGTCATAACTAGCGAGAATTCATATTTTTTGACCTGATACTGATGATACTGCTGCAGATACCTTATATGACTGATTCTTAAAGCTTGGAAGCCTCACTACAAGAGCCATACCTTACACATGAATATGTTCAGGTGGGAATTTCTAAGCTTCCTGAGTGGAATCATTGGCATGTTCTGGATGTTACGACCTGAGGCTAAGAAAGTGATGCCACGACGAACTCAAGCTGACTTAAGAGGAGGGATACCTATCTGCGACCTTTGTCGGGAACTAACCTGACTCAAAAATAAACCCAGATTCCCACCCCTGAATCTTTGGATCCTACAAGTAGTAGGTCGAATTCACCGGCAAAATAGATTCACGTAAAAGCAAACAAATACAGAAGGTCAACCAAAACAGACAGGACATGATATAAGTCACCCAACTGCTAGGTTTCCACATGTTCCCGCAAAAAGTTTAGCCATTCTAGGGGAATCACGCATCGTTGCTCATGCTGCTATTTTCTATGTACATCTTATCCAATAAGGCAGGTAGTTTAATACTGATACAAGAGCAAGAATGATTTTGCTCAATCATATCTTTTGTAAGACTAGTCTCCTCTCTCTGAAGCACTGTGCTGTGTCTCACCAACACTGAATACAGTGTTATAAAACATAAAGTGCTTCAGAGGTAAGGTTGACTGATTGAAAGCCCAGACAATGATAGTCAGGGTGAAGGGCCGCCTCCGACGTTCAACTGATTTCCAAGCATACAAATGTTGTGAATTGGTGTTTTGTGGTGAAAAATACTGGGGAGTATTTTGACCGAAACATTCCGACCTTTTTAGCGCTGCAGTTGGCCATCGTCAGGTCACCAAAAGAAACGAACAGCTTTGACATGATTTATGCCTAAATGTCACTACTAACTGTCCACGACTGGTTGTCATGTGCTTGGTCCTGGATTGAAAAGCCTGAAACTGCAACCCAGAAAATCACAGGACCTTTCCTGAGTACGCTCACCTGAATCCGAATGAGAACAAAGGCCTCGTGTGGCGTGAAAATCACTGCATTGATAGTGCCAGTGTTTGATCACATTATCATCGTGCAATCAAAACTTACGTAAGGATCAACGTGTACAAGGATCAGTGAACAAAGGACCTCAGTCTGACTATTCACCTGTGGTCAGATCGCACTGGGCCGTTTTCCACATTCGGATTCAAAGACTCAGAATATTCTTTATAAAACAGAGTTTACTGAGTACTGGAGCAAATAAAAAAGTGCTCTGGCTAACGTCAAAACCCTTTGTCGCACTAGAAAGTGGTTTTGTACTGCGTCTGATGCTTATAAAACACAATCCACTAATCCTATCGCTATCTAAGCCTAATTTAAATCTATGCAAACTCTAGGACCAAGTTCAGCAAGATATCTGTCTACCAAATAAACAATTCTGCACTTGGAAGAGCTATTCCTTTATATTTCAGTAAGGAAGGTGCGGCAAAACACACGAACGTGGAGACACACAAGTGATTTTTTGTGTTTCGATAGATTCACGGATACAATGCGAGCGAACGAGGAAGAAGGTGACGATCTCTTCTGAATATAAAGTGAGTTAATCGTAAAGCTACGACGTACAACTGGTTAGTTACAGATGAAACCTCTTTGTCTACGGCTCCTTTAGAAAACCAGTAACAATGTTAAGCAGAATGTGCCCCTATTGTTTTACCCTATTCACCAAAATAACTATCGCATACAACTTTGTTGACCGAAGTAAAGTCGACTGTTCCGAAATACACTGACGGGCGAGGATGCGCGAATCAGCTGATGAATGCTGATCCGAGTAACCCGTAGGGTCGAAAAATCTACGCACCGTTGAATTTATTAATTCTGTGAGCTTGGTCCCAAAACCATGGTGCCATGCGTCTGCATAAGGCAAATTGGGTTTCAAATGCTAGCCTAAGCGTATCAAACCACAAATAATGTGATAGACTCCATGATATGTATGTTTCCGAGATCAAATAGTTTTCAAAAAACTGTTCCTGGCACTGATTATAGCGCTTTGGAGAGCCTGTTGATCAAATAAGGTTGAGGAAGTTCTCAGATACCTGTTCACCTTGTTCATATAAGAGTGATTATAGAGCTCCTTTCTAAGACATTGGGAATTCTCGGAGGAACACTTGATAACCTCAAACAACCGATAAAACTCATTTGAAGAACATGAACACGTTTGTTACAGTAGAGAGTTTGCGAAGTTTTTCCAAGAGGCCGAAGACTGCATACCAGTAAAAGATGAGATACCTGGACAAAGGAACCGACTGACGAAAGTGGGAGGCGGATATGGTGAAGGAAGCCATGGGTTGACGGCTGGGTACTCCGAGTTAGATTCACGCATGACCGATAACATCGTCAGATGTCTCGCATTCTTAGTTGTTCACACAGCTTGTTTCAGAATAAAAACGCGTGAACTACATCGAGTTTGTCTGGAATTTATTGAAACACGTGGGATTTGGAAGCTTGGTGACCCTACAAAGACCTAAGTCTCAGTTATACAAAGATTACCTGACATTATTAAGTATTCAGATTAACAGTCAGCATATCAAATTCTGCAGTGACTTCGGTTTCCTACTAAAAAGTGGATTCTACGAAGCTTCCCATGTTCCGTAACGTGTTTGTTCATTTGAATGGCCTAAGGAATTATGTCAGAACAAAACAGCATCTGCTAAATCAAATGCTAGCTTAGAAGAGAATGCAAGCGGAGCATAGGCTCGGACACAGTGATACTCTTCAAACCAAATGAGAACTGTTCGTGTATTGCATGAAGTTTTTTGAAGCTTTTAAATTCAAACCCATAATCATATAATACATGGAAAGTACTTCTAAAATAAATGTACATATCATGCTGTTGCTTTCTGCCAAGTAGGTGGATTTTTATACTTACATTCCACTCTTGAAAAACGAATGTACGATGCTATCATGTTGGTCAGTGGCCTTATTTAAATCTGTAATCAATCGCCAAGATTCCACCAACATTACAAGAATTAGAAATAGTACATTGACATCATCATATACCCTGATTGGCCCTGTATTTTCTCGGGTGTCGCCTCGTCAAGACGATCTTGGATGGGACACGTAAATTGGATCTTGTGACCGGAGTGCAGACGCTCACGGTTACTTTAATAGATGGAAATTCGTGACAGTGGTTTCAACCACAACATTTCTCAGTGTTTATGTAAGACGCATGTCTATTTCGGTATAACCTAACTTAATCATCTGATCACCAACTGTGGGTTTTATTTTGCAACGCATAATTTCAAATTGATGGGTTAACGTTAAGTAAACCACACTGGCACTCATTGTAGCAGATAAACTGATGATACAAGGAAGCTAATGTGTAGGCGTGTGATGCTTGTTTGATCTCCTGACTGAGAGTGTGGTTTCCGGAGCTATTGGAACCAGCTGACTTGTACGCTGGGCATTGTGACCGCTGAATTATGCGCGGCAAACAGTGACCGACTTTCCCAGTGGCGTTCACAAATACCTCATTCTCGCTTATTCATAGCAGTCTACAAATAGCATTCCGCACTGTTTGTTTGCCCCGTTAAATTTATTTCCGATAATCGCATGCGACGCTAATGTTAGCGGCGTCGCATCATCACTGTTCTCTAACCTGTGGTAGTCTACCGTTGCTAGTGCTGTTGCCGTAGTGGTCATTGAGTGTTGTTTTCGTCCTCCGCAAACGTTGGTTTGTTGACTCTTGGAACTAAACAATAGCTTCAGAAATTTTATGAATACGGCATCCCACAAACTGATCCACCCAAACGTGAGTAGATAATTTATCATGGCTATGTGGGAATGCATTCTAACCAGACCGCAATTATTGTGGTGGAAAACATGGTTCCGGTGTAATGCGATTAAAGAGGGTTTAGACAGTAAAAAAACGGAAAACGCTGTACAATAGCTCACCTTCTTTTTGACTTGGGCGCTTAGTCCACTGGCAAGTGGCTGATTAGCCATTGCGGATCTGAACCGAAAATCTTGGTGAATACGGTCAAATGTGAAAAATATACTATCCGATTATGGATGAACATATCAATCAGGGAGCCGGCCAATGGGAAATACGTGGGCATTTGTGGAGGTGGATGTGCACACGTTTGTGCGTTTGTGTGCACGCAAGGTGAGGGGGCACAATTCGCTCATCTAAGGACTGTCCTATTGGCCTGGTGCAACGTTCAACTGTCGCGGACATGAATTGGAATCGATTGTTTCGGAATCGAGTAGCAACGCAACTGTCGGGTTTTCATGAATAATGCGTTTGTTTACAATAACGAGCAACCCAGATTATTCTTGCATCACAGAAATGAACACAGAAAATGCATCATCAGAATAGAATATGTCTACACCCTTTCTTTGTATAGGGCTGTTTTGGGGACATTCTAAAACCCTTCTATCTAGAAGATATGGGTTGACTAGCGGGTGATGTTGCATAAAGCCCTAAGCACAGAGGAAGCCAAGCATACTAACACGTCGGCAAACCAACGAACCAGTAGTATGATGCTGAAGCAGAGAATCAAGTATGACCCGGGACTTCGTTTAGTTAGCTTATTAGGTAGGCATATGAAGCCTCCTAAAGCAGAAAAGGTGCATTATCACAGTCGTCGCTGTTATCCAAATAAGACCTGTATTCCAGTTTAGTCGATTCAGAAAATGATTAGAATTGGAGAAACGGTAGTCCGGAGTCAATCCAGGACAGAATAGAACGTGTGTTGTAGGTCGCAAAAAAGAACTTTTGTTTGCAAGTTTGTTGTTCCGTTATTCGGGACCAGTGATAGAAATTTCGATCTGAGTATCTGAGTACACTTCGTAAGTATTTCATCAAATTCTGTTCAATAAACTTGGTATGTTTGTTTTAAATGTATCCCCAGTAGAGGTGACATCATCAGTGCATAATAGATTAGCGTGGCGTGGATGTGTAGGCGTTGCTAATGCTGTTCTGGTTTCCACATATTTCCCTTGGACTCGGAATTGAGATTGATTGATTGGGATTGGCTGTTTGGAGATGGGCGATCCCGTTGTTTGACCAGCTAGCTCACTGTGAGGTATTTCAGCGGGCCTCGAACATGTCCCTGCAAGTGGCATCCGTCAACCATTGTCCTTCCGGTCCCGTGGTTGCGATGGTTAACGGTTGATCATCTCACTGGCGGTTCCATTTGAGTTGTGCGGTTCAAATGATGCTTCCTTGCTCTTGGTGGCCCCTAGATTGGGTCCGTGTCCCTTTTGATTTTCATGAATGCAAGTCGGGATAATGGGTCGTGTTTTCTGATGGCTGGATTATGTTATTCCGAGCACGGGTACTACTTTAGGCCAGTTTGTCCAATACAGAGTCCGTAGTTCTCAGTAGGGTCAGCTCGGCACATCTCATCGATCCTGTCCTACGGTCTCAATGCTAGTCTCCTCGTTGTAGAAGTTAGCTTATGAGCTACTAAGAATCTTTTCCCTTAAAGCACCTTGATACGAGTTCGAAACATTTATGGAGTGCTGCCCGTTTGTTTTCTGATGCCAATGTTATTGTTTCTGATACTGCTGCTACTGTTGCAGATTTTGTCTTCAAACTTCTGGTGAGAGTTTGTATGAAGCCGTTGTTTTGAAATACTGGAACTAGGGAGTTTCCTTCCTTTCTTCTTTGTTCCGAAGTCCTTCAGTCTCTGTTCGTTTTCCACAATAAAGTTTTGCTACAACTTTCCTTGTGGTTTATTGAACAGTTGCTCTAGCAGTTTAGGAGCTGGACCATGTGTAAGTGCCGATCGTCTTGCCTGGGCGGCATGCGTTCAAAACGTTTCCGAAGCCGGTTAATCCTGTCTCAGATGAAGGCTGCTCCAAGCTAAGGGAAAAGTTCTTGATAGCTTGCGCCATTTTGTTGTAATATGGGGAAAAATTACAGAGCAGCCAGCAGGCGAGTGTTTCCATCGTTTGTGGTTTAACCAACGATTTAAGAAGTGACAACAAACCTCAGGGGATTACGGGAAGTCTCCTTCCAGCAATGAGGATGTGTGAACAGAAATTTAAAAAAAATAACCTTATAGGAACAACTGGATCGAGATGTATTAATGGAGCTCATGTACACTGTTTGTCCTAGCTACAGATTTGATACAAAACTGACTTTCTACTTGTTCAGTTTCTTTTCCCCGAAGTGAGGTGTAGAAAAACTCATCACCATGGCCTGGAGGCTGCCGGTATAGGTTGGCCGCCATAAATCGTCGGGTCTAGACATGAAAACCCGATGCTTTATTCCCACTTTATATCGGAGGATTTTGGTCAAGCCAGTTTCAGACCTAGAACAGAATTGTTGATATTACCTAATCCTTATGATCGCTTTGGGACAATCATTCTTGAAGTGTCACTCGAATACGTTAGTTTTGATTCCCAAAAATAATCAAAGGATTTTACGACACCCAGACCTGACTTACAAAGAAATACACCTTTACTTCTGACATATTATGCCCCGAGGAATCGTCCATCTGAGAGCCCATATTTAGGTATCCATAATTAAGGACTCACAGAAAATATGTGGAATTAAATTTTGGACATTCAGATTTCACTTTTCCCCTCCATTTTAGGGTTTGAACGACTGGTGTGAGAGACGATAGACTTGGCGATGTGTTGAATGTGCTAACAAGAGGTATACCCTCAAAATTGGACATATGTTTGCAGGATTTAGTTGAAATTATTTTGTTTTCAGCAAACAATTTACTCTTTCCAGTTATCTGCAAAGAAGTTGTGACTGACAGTTGTCACCTGCTGTGCATGCGTACTCGCCAATCACGTACAAAGCATGTACGGACAAGGAATGAAGTGGCAGAAAACCTACTTGTGAATCAGGACCGAACAAAAAGTTAGTTATCAACATCCTTTAGATGGTCACAGACTCATCTCCGGGTTTGTTTTGAATGAATATGTCGAATTTCTTTGCAATCGTTCCCACTGTTAAGCTGTTTTAAAGTTCGACCAGTTTCGCTCTCCCGGAAGTCCACAACCTCATCGGTCAACCAGAATGCAAATGAGTGATAAAGGATTTTAAAGAAGATCCGGACATTCACGAAAAAAAACATGCGTAACTTTTTGAACTGCTTTCATGCTCTTCCACTCCAAGGTGCAATCCTGTTAAACTGACCTGACTGGTTTCAGTTCATGAGATTGACTTCAAACACGGTGTTTGTGATAAGTGTGCGTGAAATAACCACTGACTGTCATCTTCGACGGAAAACGAGCGGATAAGCGAACGCTTGGATTTTCGATATCTCTTAACGAAGTTACGACTGACCTCAACGCAGAATAGATTAAACTGAGAGCGGGAAAGTTCCGTTTGAACTTGTTTTGGTGGGACAAAGTGCAAGGCGAGTTCGAGGCACGAACAAGTTATCCTGAGCAAGTCATACATGATTGTTTACGTAAGTCGATCTCGTCTCGATTGTGACCCGGCAGTGCTGTGTAGACAGTTTATAATACAGAAAGAAGCAAGGCAGGTTTCACTAACCGCTTCAAGTAGATGCCAACCAAGCACTCGCGAGTGGTTTTCTCGAATGGGTTGACGATCTAGAAAAAATAAGGTTTCACATATTAAACGACTGTCTGGTCACTTTCTCGATACAGAACAATCCCTACAACAGTAGGTAAGTGGTTAAATCATTAGGTTGTGGGATTAGGGTGGTAACTACAATTTTATTGGTGAAAATTAAATTTGGACGAGACACAGTGCTAGCAAGATTGCAGATTCTTCGGCTCAACCGAATGGTATAGGTGTTGCCACCCGAAGTAGTCGATGGAGCATTCAACGCAGCTCAATTGGGAGCATGTTGGTCTTGCTCTTGTGCTAAACGTAGATAAAACTCGTGAAATGCTTTCAATCTCTCGCCCATATGGATATGCAATACAGGAAATGTCAGCGACTGTCATCCTACTACCTCGAAAAGGTTGGGTGCTTTTTCTAGTGTAATTTGAATGCACCTGTTTAGAGCCATAAGGGACTGATGGCCATGCCACCTAAATACTAAACGTAAAGTTCCATCTAATGAATGCTTGATTAGATTTCCCATAAAATTCACAGAAAGTAAGTCGGTCCTACTCCCATTGGAGACAACGATGTAAAGTTACCTTGTTGCTGGCCGACCCAGGCCTTTTTGTATCAATAGAATCCATGTATCGAATTGGTTAAGAATTGAACAAGGGCTGCTTTGTTAACTAGATGAGATCCAACTTGTAGCCTCCCTTCTTGGGTAGCCTTTTTCATCCTCACCCGTTGATGCTTCTGTGTCATTGCATGATCCCACTTTTTTGTGCGACTGAAGAGAATAGCTGAAACGTTAACATATCGCTATGTTTATTTTCGCTCAGTCCTGAACTGATGTGGAGGTCAACAGTTCGATATTACTGATCAGAAGGGCACAGAAAATAAGAGGGGAACAGGAACAGCAGCCAATCGATGAAGACTATGGATTTAAAATGTGCACAAAAGCTTACTGTCTGATGCAACAAGCAATCAGTAAAAACACCACAGCTTAAATTGCCCAAGAGCGAAATCTAACCTACGCGTGTCTACCAACTTCATTAGCACAGCAAACAACGAATACCAACATCGGTGTACTTTTCGGCAAGTGACCTTGTACAGCTAGCTTGCCACCGGGATACCTGATCACGTGAGCTGTTCGAACACGTGCTGTTCGAATCTAGCATAGCCCCAGACGTGCATGTGTTCGGCGGAAGAAGACGCTTCGATTTGTGCGTCTGTTTGCTTTCTAGGTGTGCAGAAGGGGCTGGCACGGAATGCGGTGGGTGGTGAAACGATAGATGTGCGCGCTAAATTTAGTTGGTTTGATGGCACAGCAGTTTTGGCTGACAATTTAGAACATTCGAGCCAACGGGTAGGATAGGATGGATCATGAGGCATGCAAATTGAAACTGCCAATACGATGGGAAGATTACCGACACGGGAAAGTGAAAAGTAGGTAGACCGGTGGGGTTTCTAGGGTAGACATTAAAAACACCTACCGACGGCTGGTAAAGTCCCCAATTTCAGGAATGCTAATGTTCATGTTCGGTGAAGTGTTTCATTGTGGCGAGCGAAATGGTGAAAAATATATCGCGCTTTCCTTGGACTGGCGGACCGCAATCGCGGTTGTGTGGGTATGATTAGGATAGCATTCACGCGCGCAGGAGATATTATTGTCTTTCTGGGAATAACGTACCTAGATCAATGACCATACGTATCCATGAAAGGGAAACACTTATGTAACACCGTGTAAACAGGTCCCGCACTGGCGCCATTGTGAGCTACTAATTCTTTTTATCTCTTTAAACTCGAATAACGACACTGAATTCTCACCCACTGCTTCATCCTGCATTGTCATGTTCTGACGAACAGCGCAATGCTCGTATCTTTATTCGATCAACATCTACCCCCAAACAGGAGTCCGCCGATGTGGCGGTACGGGACTGCTGTCGGTGTCAGCTTTAGGCGTGACATTATACTGTGTTTCCTCTATGAGTCTTATCAGCCGGCAACCAGAGAAGTTTTCTTCGCCAATTTCGTAGCGTTTCTTTCCTGAGGAAGGGACACTTCAAAAGCCAGCACCACACGCATCGTCTGCTCAAAGCGAAAAGTAATCCCGTCAGAAAATTCAAGTTACTCTACGAATCTAAATCTGCTTTCTGATAGGCAATCCCAGAGAGCATAAAAAAAAAGATAAGCTATTCGACAAACTGATGGACCGCTTTCGAAGCTGGTCGCCTCGGTGACCAATCAATGCACAAGTAGAGCCAAGGTTCATGAAAAATAGACAAGGTTCAGCCACAGCGATTGACGTGTTGAGCAAACACCTTGAAACAAACCGACCTGGTGCTCTTAGGTAAAGAATTTTCGTCAAACTGTCGCAAACTTCGGAATGCTTCCAAGACTTCGGTCGGATGAACTAATTCACCAAGCGAATTCGAAACTGAGGCGTTCATACCCGAAATCCCCATCTGGATAACGTTGAATTCCACGACAAGCCTCGATAGGAAAGAGCCATATAAAGTTAACCGGTCAGCTCCAGCTGCAACCGATTGTCTACTGGAACTGAATACACTCCTATAGATATATCCAAGTCATATACAGACATCCCCTCTTCTCTTCAGTAGTCGGTAACTAAATAAGCCAAACGTTCACTCGTTTTCATGTTCCATGTGATACCGCCATGATTCGAGCGGCGAAGACGGACATTTGGATACGCCATAATCGGTTCTTCTGAACAAAGGCCCCCTTGTCCTCCGCAGTGAGCTCAATAGAAACAAATATGTATTAATTGGTTTGCAAAAGGCTGTTACCGAAATGAAATCCATACTGAACGGACGAATGACGCTTTTCCCCATCACACCATCTGACTGGAAAACGGTGTAAGAGCATCTTGCGAAGTTCATTAGGGCATAAGCTCGATCACCGTAGCATACACAGGAATCTCTTATCCAAACAAACCACACAGCAGCAGACACAACCCTGAGGACCGAGCTGGGTTTCGCCTCGAAAGAGGCCGTACCGACTGTATCCCCAGGTTGCAGCCCCAGTCACTGACCGGAAGGTCCATTGTTTGAACCCGACCTTTTCATCTCGACTTTACCTGTCTACGCTTAGGCAACCTGGCAGTACCCCAACCCTCATGCTTCTTTCGGGTAGCATGGTAGCTAAGCACCGAAAAGGTGTTACAGCTAAACATTTTTCATTTCACAACTTCTCCTGATCTAACCAGCACTCTTTACGGTGGATTATTCTTTCTGTTCTTCAGTCCTTTGACCTCAAATTTGGAGTTGTATTCCGTACTTAAGATTGACTATCTTCTCTACCTAAAAGACAGCATTGTCAAGATAACACTATCCATAAAGTCGAAGAAAGGTCTGCAACAGTCGGTTTGCCATTCTTCGGACTCATCGGCAGGTGTGAATTCCGAGTATTCGTCACTAACACTTTGCACGGTGAACGTCAAATCATACGTTCCACTCATTCGCAAACCAGCTTAGTGTTAATGACTTTGTTTGACTTTGCTTGAACATGAGATTCCGCAAGCCATTTCACAACGCTTTCAAATATTCAGCAGGCAATAAATTCCAAGAATGAAGCACTCCCTTTGAAACACAAACAACAGAAGGCAGTTGTCTTTCCGATTATGATTCATCATATCTTGTAAAGTTCGAGACGATCATCCGAAATGCATTGGATGAATCATGGTGCTAGAATTAACCGCGCCAACCGAGCATAATTCTTACATACAACGGCGCTCCAGTATCTATGACAGGTTGGCCCCATTTAGAACTCATTTACAAAGGGAAGAGAAAGCACAACAAGACTCTGGTAATAAAATGACACTTATTACAAACGTGTGAATAAATACCTCTGATGATAATAATATAAAGATACTCTCATGCCCACAGGCATATCATCACTTCATTTGGCGAGCAATAATAATTCTTGAGGTAGATTGGAGTCGGAGTTGTTGAGAAGAGCCTTTGTTATCTGGGCCAAATGAGCCCCGAACTTATTGACATCATCAGGTGTTGCATTCTGCCCATTGCCAGTAGCATCGTCCAAAATGCGTAGGAGTTGCCCGCGTAACTGGTCGGCAATTACAACAGCCGCTGATGCATGAGCCTGAACCATGAAGACCCGGAAAAAACAACACCAGATAGTGTAAAACAGTGGATAAATATTATTGAATTAATTTCATTTAGCATATAGCATGTACACCATACTGAAAACTGGAGAAACGCTGCAACAGTTTCATCCTTTGCTGAAACCCCAACAACGGGAGAATAGCACGTGACGGAGAGGGATCAAGATATCGGACATTGACAGTGACCGTAAACGTGAACACTAAGTAACAGTTAACTGACCTTCGTTATAATCCCCGTCTATCCAGACGTGATATAAAACAATTCATCATCAACTGCATCGTCCACTCTACTACACCGCTGTTCGTGGGAGATTTAAGTTACGTCTTGTCGAGTCTCACCTTCTGGCCAGTCCGGATTAGTCATAAAGGATGTGGATATTTCACAAAGTTTCACTAAAATTTACGAGATATGCACTGTAACAGGGTGGTCACTCGACAGTCTGATCGAATTCAACGTGTTAAGCTTTGTCTCGCGTCTGTGGTTGAAACTGTTTCACACATCAGTGAAAGCTCGTTACTGGAAGGGCACTAGCGACTGTACCCAAATGGTGGTTGTCCACCCCGATTTCCTGCATCGTATGTGCACGTAGCTGTGAAACTTTAACATGATTTATAGATGAGCGTGACGGTCCCCTGGGTCAAATGAGCGATTCTTCTAAAGACAAAACAGATTCACACCGCACCATAACTGACGTCGGCTCGCAACAGAACCAAGAGTACGGCCACTCAACTTTTTTCGGCAGATGCAACTCAACTTTGCAGAGAACGAAATAAACAGAACCTTAAAAAGCAAACGCTCTGATTGGCGTCACGTTCTGGGAAAATCCCAATCCATAAGCGGGTAAAAGAGCAGAAGGCGTAGAGGCATTACGGCACGTTTTTAAGGCGTGGACGACGGTCTGAAATTGAAGTACGACAAGCATACAAGCATAAAGCGTTTCTAAGTGGCGGACTGAAAAAGACCGAGCTGGTTTTCACCATGACTTAACAAAGAGATTACGGTGAATGTTGCATTGGCGATCTTTTGACTGCAAACACTTCATCATTAATCAGAGTGCACCAGTGGAATAGAGCGTGGAATCACTGAATGCGCCCTGAGTAGTGGCGCGCAATATTACATTAAGGAAGAATCCTGATAGCCAAAACACATCGACCGCTGTTCTGGAGAAACAGTTACCCTGATCAAAGAACGACGGTGATAACGTGGATACGGGCCAGATGGGACACAAACTGGAGGGTTCACTAGTAAAACCGTCTGCACAAACAATCGAACACAGTCGACCCGACTGGTAGTAAACATCCAACTACGCATATCGCTTTTCGATTCACACCCAGTGATGCAACACTCCACTCCATGATAAAAACTCATGGATGAAGGCACCTGGACTAGTGGCGAAAAGTTTGCAGCTACATTATCCGGCTGAGCAGAAAAACCAACACCTAGCCAGCATTGTCTCCTGTTTATACGCAGACAACAAACAGCATCCTCTCAATTATCTAGTCGTTCAGTCTTGATGCTTCGTTTTCAATCCGTGTAATTAATGATAGAAGCAAAATTCCTTCTCCGTTTTCCCTGATTATACTGAGGCGTGTTCCAAGGGACTTCTAGATGAAGAGCTGTGGCACAGCTTGGACATGGGGATGATACGATCGCAGTCGTTTCGGACATGCCTAATGGTTGCTCGTTGCTACCACCGAGTTCAACGTTCCGGTCTGAGATGTGAGGTATCTCACAGAAATCCTCACTATTGCTCTGTGCACCCGTTTGCCTGCCCATTGGTTCGTCATCCCAAACTCCCAATCCGTCGACCCTAGTAAATAAATTCACGATAAACTAGCAACGATAACTGTGACCATACGGTTTTTAACACACAGTCAGTCGCCAGTCTATTTAAATTAAGGAGCTAATAAAATTTTCGTTTACGGAATGTAGGCAGCCAAACATGTGCCCAACGGTTCCCACACTATTGTCATAGCAACGCGGAAAGAAACAAGGGTGAAAATGAAGAAGGATAAATGAAACAATAACAGCTTTTGACGAAATACACTCATTTGCAAATTAATTTGGTTTTTCGAGAGACACCTGGAAACCAGCTGAATCTCTCGTTTGTGATGTTTCCAGGCAACTGAAAATGTACTGCACCAGGCCACCTCATGTTTCAGTTGCTACGATATTCGAAATATCGCGATACATGTATATTCGTAAAGCACTACTCATAAGGTTGCTGAAAATTTGTCGACAGTCCATGACCAGTTTCACCCTTCTTGGGGATCACCAAGTAGGCGGAGTCCCCGAGCATCTTGTTGTTTGGTGACAAATAAAGTATTTTGAAGGATAAACGTAACAGCCAACTGGCTGCTGAAGCGAATGAAGGAGCGGGATATGTGTAGTGAACATGAACACTGTGTATTCCAAGTGAGCAATTACTTGTGGAACTGATGAACTAGGTTCGATCGGCAGAAGTTGCAGAATGTGATGCCATGGATGGTTGCGCTAATTTAGAATACTGCCAACGATAATGGAGTCACCCTGATCAGTACTCCTAAAGAGAACAGACTAATTCACACTACAGTTTGCAGACAGCGCGACAGAACTGAAACAACGAATCGTATAGTTGATGTCAAGTCAAGGGAAGTCTCATGCACTCTGAGCAGAATATCCACCACGCTGACTCGGATATAAATTTGAATTATTTTTAAGCGAAGTTCGGATACCACAATTATCGTGTTAGTCCCAAAACACATGCATCGCGGCTTGACAACCATCGGAACATCTTCACTTGACGCCCGAATACCATCAGATTCTGCGCAGGACATGAACAGGAACAAAGCAGTTCGTATCACCCATATCTGGTGTATTGGAAGAAAGGCCGTTACCTACACAGCGAGTCAGAGTTAGCTCTGCGGTTAAGGCACCAAATGACTGACCGAAAAACTCGTATTTCGATACCGATCCTAGATGTTCCGATTGCAGATGCCTCCACTTGGGCAGTTTGGTAGTATCACAGCCGCCGAGCTTCCTCCGAGTCGCGCAGCAGCCATTCATAGGAAGAGTGCCATAGCTGAACGACCACTACTAATCGTTCAACTGTAACACCCTTTCGGTGTCTAACTGCCATGCCACCCGAAGGAGGTACGACGGCTGGCATATTGCTAGGTTGCCCAAGCCCAGACAAGTCGAGATGCAGATGTCTGGTTAGAACCACGTACCTTCCGATCAGCAACTCCACGCTCTGACCACTGTGCTATCTCGTCCCCTACTAATACTACTATTACCTACAGGTCACATATTACGAACTCAATACGAATGGCAAAAGTAAGTAACCGGTTACCTCACAAAAATTTACACCTAAAGCTTGCGTTCAAAAGATACTCCTGCCCAAGCTCTGAATGCCATAATGATTTTTGACCTGTTTAAATTGAAACCAGAAGCACAAACTGACAGCAGAAATCGGAAGACCATCAACGTAACCATGGACAACCAAGCTAGCGCACCTCAGATACATCGCTGTCCCAACGTATACGTTTGGAGGCAGGATCGCCATCACTGTCCATGCGGTATTTCCCGTCCAAAGTTAGCCACAAAGATTCCAACTGCTCGTCACGGGCAGCTTTGTGTTCGGCTTCGGTAAGCACTTTGTCAGGGAGGCCAACAAGCTTTGCAACATCTAAGCCATAGCTACGAGTGCAAATACCTAAAATGAAGAAGCATACAAAAACAGTGTGATAAACCAACAAGGGTTTTCCGCTGGTGTGGCTGAGAAAAGGTTATGGTGCAAAACACAAACGTCCAAACAAACAAAACTCTATTCCGGTATATTGTTTAAAAAAATTGTTCAATACTTTTATCAAAATAACGGGATGTCTGTCAAGGTTACGTTGAGATTTTAAAAAAAACGGAATTCAATCTGGTAATTACTATCAGATTTGGATGAAGATGGAGAGGGTGGTTTGACATGATATATACACCCGCAGAAGAGAGCACATCGGATATATCGAGATACGGGGCGTGCCTATCCTGTTGTCCATAACTGGAAGACATGGTCGTCGAACCTGTACCCTCACAGGGATACAAATAACCGTGGTCCGAACGCTGCTGAGTACTTTTTCTCCAATGGAACACCCATTAAACTCCCACATACTGCGCCCAGGGTTTAGCTGTGTTCGCAATCCAACATAGACCCCAACATGGGTCATGTTCCTGTAAATTACGACCCTCGGCCGCATCCGGTTTGTAAGCCCGCTTCATCTTACCTACCAATTTTTGCTGCCATGGGCGAAACCATTTCTCCCACACCAAAAAATAAGATTCAGGGAAAAAAACATAACTACATTGTGGAGACGTGCCCAAATCTAAGATTAGAGGACGCGGTCAAATAAAAACAACTGGGTTTCAAAGCGCAACTACAGTTTAATCGAGAACGTAAATGCCAGTGCGTGGCAAGAGCTACAGCGTATTCTTTATAAGCAACTGTTTCGCGGACCATATTTGGAGATCACTATGAGGCCAGTAGCCTACGTAGAGCATATCAAACAGCCACATATGCTCACCAGTACTAAGAGCTCACAAACGAATTTAGCAACCTTTAGAGAGTATTGATTCAATGCATTCAGAACACAACAACTGAACCGTCCATTGTCAGATCCTATAAGCCTGGCTCGAGTCAGTCAAACCTGATTAAGATTTTGCACTGGGGCAGCATTATCAAAGTATTCTTCTTATGAAGACTGTCCTTAGTTAGAGAATAATGGCAATTGAGAAACCGCACCCAATTTTTTTGTCTAACAGAAATCAAGGGGGAACTTCTCATACAAAAATGTACGGATTACAGGAACGAGTTCTGCAACGAGTTTCATACCTGGACTAAAGAGAAGTGATCGTGAAATTCCTTGAAAGGGAACTGAAGTACAGTTGGAAGCAACTGATTGGCAATGAAACGTAGCGTCTAAAGTGGCGTCAATCTTATCGGTTTTATACAGCAGAGGATTTCGTGGAACGATATCAATTGTCACGTCGCGTGATGGCAACGTCAGTAGCTATCAATTTATGTGGAATATACAAGTGGTAACAAAATAGATAAGCTTTCCTCACCACAATGCTTTGGGTGATCATCTCATGCCTAGAAGCCGCAAAATGCAAAATAGCACTACAAGTGTTTGGGGTCGTCTGATACTTTCAGACAAACCTCGACGTCACATCCAAGCGACTGGAATGTTGTGTGCCTCCAGTGGTTTAGCCACAAACGAAATTTCCCTAAACGCGGGTCGAACGGAATAGTCTGCCAATATGATGCATCTTTGGTGTTGATGTGCTATCAGCTTGCCCGTTTTCGATAAACTTTGCAATACAGCGGTGCGCTCGGTGAGGGTGTTTGGGACAAAAACTTGGCCACTGTGAGTGGCCGCTAACAGTAGCTGAGTTTCTGACCAAGCTATTTTCTTCAAGACACAGCTACTTTGTTCCCACTCAAACATCAAAACGCCGATGATCAATGCATTTCAGTTATTACTCACTTACACCACAATACTATGGACCGTATTACCCAGTGAGCTGTCGATCTGTTACTCAGTAGTGAGCAAAACCATGGCAAATGGAACTACTTTCCCGTATGTGCATGCTAGAGAAGCAGCTCCTAGCAACTGGGGCACTGAGAAGTTCAAGTGACAGACAGGCGGTCATATTGAGGATGAGGTATTTACACGGAGCGGGTACTACACCTGACGACGACATTCGACGTCAGAATATCAATAAATTGGCGTCGTTTTACATTTAGTGATGGACAAGTCCCTGATGTGAGCTACCAACAAGCTTTCTATGACATACTAAAGGGTTCGCCCAGTATCGTCACTCACCTGGTTCAACCTTGTACAGCATTACAACACCTGAACCGTTTATGGAGTCAGCGCTGCCTCCTGGAGACACGTGAGCGGTGACACGCAGGTTGGATACACGACCGGGCATATGATGAGCCAGAATGGTCAACTCGTGGAAATGCGTGGCAAACAAACTCAAACAACCCAGCTGTGGTCCTGCTAGATGCGAAGCTACAGCCCAAGCCAGACCGAAGCCATCAAAGGTAGACGTTCCGCGGCCCAGTTCGTCGATTATAACCAAGGAATTCGGGGTGGCTGCCTAACGTGTTCAAAAACAAAATGAAAAGAAAAATGCCTGATGGATATTAATTTTGTTTAGTCTAAGCCATACTAACTAACGGAAGAAAGGCGCAACAGCACACACCAGCTGGGTTGAATATATCCATTTGTTTATAGCAGTGCGAAACACACATCAGTGTGCATTGGAACAGTCTAACGATCCAACCAGTCACAGTCTTAACTGCTTCGAAATCTTCAGTACTGAGTATCTGTGGCGACTGAAGATTCCGATATTAGCAGTGAATTATATACTGGAATGAGGGTACATAAGTGCGGGCACATATGTGTGTATGCAGCCTACACAAGTTGCAGGTATGTGGTACAGGTAACTTGAATTCACGCTAGACGGGCACTGGGGAGAACAATGCACACAGTGTAGAGGCACAGTAGGAATGATTGCTAGAAAATTTGGTGTATGACGTCGGTTCACTTCAGTTTACCGGTGGATAATAGTAAGTATGACTGCTTTCTTCCCGGTGTATTTGGCGCACCAAGCCCCTGAAACCTACATTCCGCCAGTCTGAACACAGTCGTCTTTCTTCCCCCGCCCAAAAAAGGTTTTATTTTAACGTTGGAAATTGTGACATTATTTTTTTCGAAAGCTAACAAATTAACAGGACAACTACCCCCGAGGGAATGTAAAAATGATGAATGCTGGAAGCAGAACACTAAAGGCGCTTTGCAGCTCCAATCGTAAAGCAAAAACAAACAATACTGCAGCTTTACAGTTGATTAGTGAAACCGACAGTGAAACAAAAATATCGGTCACAATAATTCACGGAAAGAGAACAGTAAGCATTACGGTATTCCAAACGGCGAACCTCCCCAACTGCGACGATTTCGTGAACACAATTGCAATTTGCTCATTCGTCCATATTTGCCCGTTATGAGTAACTTCCATACATCGTCCCTGAGCTAGTATGTTATGACAACCAGAGCTGCGGGGAAGCAGTTTGAGTGGGGTTTCGGTTCATTGGATTGATCAGTGATACAAGCGGTGAGTCTCTGCTGGTGCCACAAAACACCGCCGTAAGTTGGCCATCGCGGAGACACAGATGGAAGTTTGGGATTGTAACATTTAATCTCCGAACGATGGCAAAATGAGTCCCGTTGAGCCAGTTTGTAAAAATAAGTCAGAAGATGTGGACTGCAAGGTGCTAACAGTCCCTTGGCTTTCATCAGTAGTAAACATAAAACTCATCAAATTGGTGGGTTGGGAGCGGAGCAACAACCAAAAAACAGTGAGTCGAACGGGCACACAGAAGGATAAGTCGGGTCGGACAACCTCCAAACCTTTTATGCGCAAAATTTTGGTTCAGGTGCCTTCAATGTCAATGTCTCACAAACGAACGAAACTTTCGATGCCATAACACTATTGCGGAAGCATCAGAGTGCTGACTATGCGAACCAATGATGAGGAAGTCACATCAACCTGAAATTTGGGCACAAAAGTTGCTGGTTCAGGGTATCACATAACGACAGAACTCATTCTACCCAATTCGCCCCTTCCGTGTGCCTGTGCGACTAAATGGTGCGTGGAGTTCACTGTGCTTCCAACCTATGACTGTAGAACGTTTTGCGTTTGTTGCTGATGAGAGTGGAGAAACCATTATCCTATGGCACCCAACGTCTACTAGATCCTTCGACAGATGGGACTACAAATTGGCTAGGAGTTAGTCAGATTAACTAGTGCAATAAAGACAGGTAGGACGTATATAAACAGGTGTATAAGGTATACGAAAAATCAAATTTGACCACGCTAATTACCTGTAGCTTACGGAGTGCGTGTAACGTGGTTCTACGAATGTGGAACGTACACGGAAGATGCCAAATGACAACTTATTTGACAAAGTTGCCAAACACACACCACAGTAGTATAAAGATGACGGGGGATATAAAAACGCTTATCACCCAAATGTGAAGGGCTAAGTCTGTATAATGCGCCAAAATAGTCATACAGCATATACAAAGATTTGACCTGGCCGGAAAACGGGGAGGGTCTGCGGACATGAGAGTACGGATTAAATTTGTGAGAACACGCAAGGGGTAAATAACGCAGTTTCCGACTGAACATATTTGCTATGCGCAGTAAATGTCACGACCGAAAATTGGAACATCGAGATAGCGTCATCAAATGGACCTTGGATAGAGCTTGTTGCGAAATCATTGTGCCTTAAAAATAGGAACAAAGGTGGAAAGCGAATTCCAATAGGTCCATCACACTTTTTAGCCAACGAAAATACGTTGTAACGCCCCAAAGAATAGAATGACTGGAAGTGTGGATATTTGTCGGTGGTTCAGAAGAGGATATAAGAATTCACAGCAGAAATGGCCGTTGGAGAGGTAGAACTTGAGGAGAATCCTACTCACCCAATCCCCACGGGGTGCCTTACCCTCACACAAGTTGATATGTCCATAAAAGTCGGAAAACTTCAATGATAGAGAAGCCAACTCTTGAGACGCGAAATAATGAAATCGTCCAAAGTTCCCCTGTGATGAAAAACCTTGCAGTCAAATACAGTCTACTCACTACTTTTCACGATGCACAACAATGTCTTCATCTTGATTGCAACTTACGCGCATGATAGTGCACATGAATCACGGTTTGTTGAAGGACAAACGTGGTGGGCAAATAGGCTGGCTAGTTCGTGGACCGACTATGGGATCTCATCCATCACACATGCCTGAGAACCATAGCGATCAGGCGTTGCATGATTTTCGTTAAAAATGAATTCCATCACAGTGACAATTCGTGGAGCACCGACATTGATTAAGGCGAGTGTCACAATCAAAAAGATGAGGGAATACCTTAAACTTTAGAATGGTCAAACAAGTAAGATGATGACCAACCACTTCAGAAGCCACGACCATAAAAACAGAAAGATGTTGGCAAATGTGAAGAGTTTTTACAGAATATTCAATAGCCCGTACAAAATTGTCACTTGTTTGATGATCGCATCACTCAAACATTCGTTTGGATTTCGAACAGGTGAGCTTACAGAAAACCTTTCCGTCCGTGAAGCCAATGGTTTCATTTAAGTGTTTTGTCCACATTGTGCGATAGACAAAAGGCCCAGTCGAAGGAATGAACTATCTGTCGACATGATATGCACAAAACCGTCGACCATAATTCCAAACATTTCGGTCCAAGCAGAATGTCAATTTTTCACTTAATTCGTCCTCAGACCAAGCAATATGTGCTGCTCAATCTGTTCCCTAATAAACTAGAACGGAACATGGATAGTTGTATGTGTTACCCATAATTCTGCTCAGAAATAAAAGATGTCACAGATTCTAGGATAAAGAGAATGGGATCAGTACACATTTGACAATAACTTGAATGAAAGCACAGTGATTTCAGACACATTCAATTTGACATGTATACACATCTGAACCCAGCCAGGAATACCAAAGAATAGCTTCAAAAGCGCGTCCAAGTGGTTGTGAAACAAGACAAACTCAAATCATTTCGTCCGAAGGTAAGATATTTTCGCCACTACTCACTCGTAAGACTGAAGAAGTTTCCAGCATCTCCGCCATAAACGTTGACACCCCTCGAATCTGACAATCGGCTGCCCCAACGCGTGCCATCACTGCATCCACAGGAAATAGTTCAGCAAACGAACAGGGCACAAAACTGCCAATTTGAGCCATCGCAGTGATAACACCGACCTAGCAGAGAAATAGATAATCAATATCGATGGATGAGATGACCAGCATCGAACAGGAGAAAAACAAGAATGCATCACACACCACGAGTATATATCAACGAGGGCTGGACAGGCAAGGCAAGTAAACAATAATGGATGGTTCTCCAGAGTTGGGAACGTCGCTAAACCGGATATAAAGTAAGAATAAATCTACGAGGAACGCCAAGTATCAGGAAACGGAAGATCGGGATGACAAACATCCACCAAACGAAAGCCTACAGGTTTCCGAAAAAAGAAACGTGGAAATGGAATTCAGCCACAAACTTGTGGAGTAGCAGAAGGCGATTTAAGCATCTGCTTATGGACCAGGATACAAATTCTCAGATTGTGAAGCGATGCAATGAATAAGAAAAGGAACTATCTACAGAATGTGGGGTGTTGTTGCTGCTATCCGGTAACCATTTGAGCTGCATTCGGCGCGCAAGATAACCACGATTCCAACATGTATGCTTTAACACCACCAATGCGGTTTGCTAAATGGTGACTGCCACTAAACGGTAAGAAACATCTTTGATGTGAGAAGATCATAGTTTGCATCAACTGATGGGATTGTACTGGAATCCTCGTTATCACCCGCATGTATATAAACCAACTGTGTCCAATACGGTGTCGGAATAGGCCCAAACGGAATTCATTTGATCGAAAAATTTCGCTCGGGCAGAGTTCCAGGGAGACCATGTACCTACCGCGATCCCTGTACGGCACTGCGAAGCGAAATTCACAGAGGACTGCATGTAACCAGCTGAGAAGTACCTCGGACATAAGAAGGTCCACCAAGCTACAATTTAGGGTCAGGTGTGTTCAGCAAGAAAATAATGAAGGCTATGTGCCTAACTAGAAAGTATGAGGCAGTATGAGTCAAGAGAGAAGACTGTCATATATTATGGAGGGACGAGCAAAATTGCTTGGTAATTAAAAAATGATACAAGGACTCTCCAGATGGTTTGGTTCATCAGTAAGAAAAGAGGGCTTCACAGTAGTTCGGGTGATAATGGAGGATAACTTAAAGCTTGTGATTACGTTTCTGTGACAGGGAACGCTTGAACCAGAGGGTAATATGGTCAAATACGACATCTGGATGTTTACCTAAGATTCCTTTGCATTTTCATATAGAGGGAATTCGAAGAAACGACATTTCAATTTAAAATGCTTCAATCCGTACATAAATTTATGAGCATTCAAAAACGTCATCATTTCGCGATTACCAGTGAAAAATATCGTATATTCTGAAACATGCCCATTGTTAGCTTTGGTTTGAACTCAGCTACAACCAGTTTTTTCTAAAAGGTGCACTATACGAAATTTAAATCATCAATGCTGGGAGATTTGGAGGAAAACAGATCTGATCTTAGCGAAATACACTCATTTGCAAACTAATTTGGTTTTGCGAGAGACTCACCTGGAATCCAGCTAAATCTGTCGGTTTTGATATTTACAGGCGGATGCATGTGCTGCACCAGGCAGCCTCATGTTTCAGTCGCTACGGTATCCGAGATATCGCGATACACATATAATTGAGAACGAAGAAGGTAGCGAACAAAGCTTGTTTTCTGTGATTGTTCATCTTGGCTAATACATCACAAATTTATATGGTAGCAGAAATCACGTGGAAAAGGTTAAGATCGCGGCTACACTTTAGAGAAATAGAAGTCAAAGGAAGGGGGTTGGGTGAGGGGTAGGTCAATGGGTCATGACGTCAATGTCAGACAGACTTGTGGGACCAGATGTTTCGTAGGCCAGTTCAAGTTCAGAGGTCGCACAAGTTTCTTTTGGATGCAAAGTTGTGGATCCAGCAGTCGGATTCCTATCGCCTCTGCGATCGATAGTAGTTTGGATCGTACCAGTCGTGGTCCGTTCAGAGGTACCCGGTAAATGATGGTGAAGGCTTGCTCCTTGTCTATGATATGACAGGTTTCGGCCAAGTGTGCTGCAATCGCGCTTGAGCCTGGTTTCTTCCCACTACCACTCAGAGATGCGGGATTGTGTTCGCGTATTCTGTCCGACAAATGTCTTGTCGCACGACCAACGTATGATGCTCGGCAAGAGCATACGAAAGAGTACACACAAAAGCTGGTGGTAGAACGTGGCAATTTGTCTTTCAAGCAGAATCTGATAGTCGCGTGCCATCACTGCATCCACAGGAAATAGTTCAGCAAACGAACAGGGCACAAAACTGCCAATTTGAGCCATCGCAGTGATAACACCGACCTAGCAGAGAAATAGATAATCAATATCGATGGATGAGATGACCAGCATCGAACAGGAGAAAAACAAGAATGCATCACACACCACGAGTATATATCAACGAGGGCTGGACAGGCAAGGCAAGTAAACAATAATGGATGGTTCTCCAGAGTTGGGAACGTCGCTAAACCGGATATAAAGTAAGAATAAATCTACGAGGAACGCCAAGTATCAGGAAACGGAAGATCGGGATGACAAACATCCACCAAACGAAAGCCTACAGGTTTCCGAAAAAAGAAACGTGGAAATGGAATTCAGCCACAAACTTGTGGAGTAGCAGAAGGCGATTTAAGCATCTGCTTATGGACCAGGATACAAATTCTCAGATTGTGAAGCGATGCAATGAATAAGAAAAGGAACTATCTACAGAATGTGGGGTGTTGTTGCTGCTATCCGGTAACCATTTGAGCTGCATTCGGCGCGCAAGATAACCACGATTCCAACATGTATGCTTTAACACCACCAATGCGGTTTGCTAAATGGTGACTGCCACTAAACGGTAAGAAACATCTTTGATGTGAGAAGATCATAGTTTGCATCAACTGATGGGATTGTACTGGAATCCTCGTTATCACCCGCATGTATATAAACCAACTGTGTCCAATACGGTGTCGGAATAGGCCCAAACGGAATTCATTTGATCGAAAAATTTCGCCCGGGCAGAGTTCCAGGGAGACCATGTACCTACCGCGATCCCTGTACGGCACTGCGAAGCGAAATTCACAGAGGACTGCATGTAACCAGCTGAGAAGTACCTCGGACATAAGAAGGTCCACCAAGCTACAATTTAGGGTCAGGTGTGTTCAGCAAGAAAATAATGAAGGCTATGTGCCTAACTAGAAAGTATGAGGCAGTATGAGTCAAGAGAGAAGACTGTCATATATTATGGAGGGACGAGCAAAATTGCTTGGTAATTAAAAAATGATACAAGGACTCTCCAGATGGTTTGGTTCATCAGTAAGAAAAGAGGGCTTCACAGTAGTTCGGGTGATAATGGAGGATAACTTAAAGCTTGTGATTACGTTTCTGTGACAGGGAACGCTTGAACCAGAGGGTAATATGGTCAAATACGACATCTGGATGTTTACCTAAGATTCCTTTGCATTTTCATATAGAGGGAATTCGAAGAAACGACATTTCAATTTAAAATGCTTCAATCCGTACATAAATTTATGAGCATTCAAAAACGTCATCATTTCGCGATTACCAGTGAAAAATATCGTATATTCTGAAACATGCCCATTGTTAGCTTTGGTTTGAACTCAGCTACAACCAGTTTTTTCTAAAAGGTGCACTATACGAAATTTAAATCATCAATGCTGGGAGATTTGGAGGAAAACAGATCTGATCTTAGCGAAATACACTCATTTGCAAACTAATTTGGTTTTGCGAGAGACTCACCTGGAATCCAGCTAAATCTGTCGGTTTTGATATTTACAGGCGGATGCATGTGCTGCACCAGGCAGCCTCATGTTTCAGTCGCTACGGTATCCGAGATATCGCGATACACATATAATTGAGAACGAAGAAGGTAGCGAACAAAGAGTGCATTGCAAAGATCTGACCTTATTTTCCAGACCAAGGAAGTAAAAGAATCACGAGAATAACAATGAAAAGCCTATGACCTGTTTGAGGGCAATCCAACCGCACTAAGCGGTCGACTGATAAAGATTAAGGGTTGACAAGACAGCTGGGGCACTGTGACTTTGTGCTGGGACAGTCAGTAGACCAAATGCCACTGACCGAAGAACATTAGCAAAGAAACAGCTGTGTTCTGGTGCAAGTGTCAAAACGCACATGGACACAGCGGGAGATGGATGAAAGCAAATGTCGCGGAAACGATGGGAAACAGCGCAGTGTGGAGTGGCATAACGCGAAACTTACGCTTCGGATGTAAGTGGATTTTCCACCCATGTTCGGACCCGTAATTACCAAGAAAATCTGTTTACCTGTGAACAGGAAAGTGACGGGAAAAGCCAGTCATCAGGGGAACGGTGCAAGCCGTTTGTGATTCGAGATAGTGCAACACAGCGCATAATTATTAATGGTCGCCAACAATCACGAGAGAAGGCCTATTAAAGGGTAATCGAGATATTCAGGTCCGCCTAAGTTACCTGCTTTCAAGCAGGAAGTAACATGGGATACCACAAACGTGTGGCTCCTTAGAGGAGCAGCATTAAATACACACATTCCGTTCTCGAATCACAGTGCCTGAGTAGACTGAAAAGCTCAACCGGCATCATCAAGTAGCACTGATAACGTTTTGTGGTATTCTCACGAAAGCAGAAAGTAGCAGCCAAGATGTGTTAGAGTGAACCAAGCTAGGTGAACACCGACTGCCTGTGAAAGCCATACAATACAAACCGTATATATAGAAATTAACGGTGGTAGATTCCAGATCCCATAATATTTGACCAATCAGAATGTTATCCATAAATGTAGATTACATTTACTCAACATCAATTTTTAATTCGGAGGATCCTCGAAAGCCTGATAAGGCAATTGAAGCGAATTCTTCCGCTTATTGTGTATCATGCTCAAAATCACTGCTGATAAAAGTTTCTAAAAAAAAACAACGGGTGAGGATTGCCTGCGCCATGAGTGCGAGATGTAAGACCGCGGCTCAGCCTAAAATAGGAAGGACTCATGTGCCATTGGAAGTCATTTTCTAACTGCAAATGACAGGTCATTATAATAGTGGAAAAACCTTTCAGTACCAGCAATAATCACTAATTTCGGTCACTCCACTGAGTCACAAGTTGGGTAAGGAATAAACAACCCGGCAAAGAGTGCTTAGGAATTCTACTTCCGTTCACTCTACAAACCGTCACAAGCCACAGTTTGCATTCACATTGACACTACCTCGAGTAGAGCCAGGCAGCTATGTCAAACTAGGAAATAATGCAACAGGTTGGCTCCGGCATCAAAACAATGAAGGGGGTAAAATAGCTTGCCCGGTGCTTTGACTAAAGTCCATTCCAAGAGAACATGGCAGGTATCAAAATACCGTGATCCTTCAGGAAGGTACTCCCATCCTGGGAACCAAACTGCCAATGAGCATGGTGCGCCTCTTCGTGGACATATGTTCCAACTATGATTATTCGCAAAGTAAAGCAAATTTATCCACTGATTTTTGCACCAATCCGAGACACTTTCCTGTTCAAACACCCATATCCGGATGGTCGTGACAAGCCAACGGTGTAAAGCTAGAACACTTCCGAAAACTTATGAGCGTTGGAGATATCCTCCCGGGAACTCCATCCACTCTTTAGCAGAAGACCTGTGCATAGTGCCGCTATTCGATTTATTAGGCCGGATTCTGCTGTAAAGATCAACGAAGAGCTCCAGCTGAATCAATGACAGACTTTCGACAGCATAATGCGTTGGTGAATACCTCACTGATTCCGTCATATAACAGGGTTTGGATCTTACCAGCAAGGAAGTCGTGGCTGTAATCAGTGTACCCTGTCTTACTTAACTCCATCACCTTCCACTGCAGAAATACGCCGGAAATTGCAGCGTTTCTGGTATAGACACAGAAAAGTCCTCTTTAGATCTCTCTATTTTGTTTCCCTCATTTGAACACATGTATTCAAACGATAGTTTTATTCTTCTCAGCCCCAATTCTTCGAGGGTTCAAAATCGCATCCCTCCAGGCCAGTGCTTTACGGGGCTCCCCATTCGGATCGTTCCTCATCGAAAGGAGACACGTTTCGCGGCAGACGTAGTGACTGGCACACCCTATATACAGAACCCTGTAGTTAAGTTTAAATCTGTGGAAAAGAACGTCGTACTTCGGTTAGGCTACAATCAACCTCACAACATCGACAAGAGACAGAGTGGATTGGAAGTACGCCGTCACAAATTTCTGCCAAAGTACAAATTTGCACCCGTGCGCTGGCAGCAGCAATACATGCAACTACCAGCTGCTCAATCAGAAGAATTGCCTGCGAATATATGATAAAGAAAATCCGCAATTTAATGAGGAGTTTTTCAGCCTAACAGAGCTGAATTTACCGTGTCATTCGCTTCAGAGGGATGGCCGTAGGAACTCCGACGACAAGCCCGTGCCAATTTCAAGTCATTACATGGAAGATGTCTTGCATTAAAGAGTATCTTATTGAGTGGGGGAGTCAATGCACAGGCACAAGCATCCTTATGGCATGGATGGTTTGACGCGTTTGAGTTCCAGTCAAAGAAGTTCCCATGTGTCGCTACGCGCGGTTTTCAAAACAAATACTCCATGCAGTGCCTGCTAACATCGATGCTCAAGTGGTAAGGATAACATACACTTTTGAAGCAACCACACCTAATTGGATGCGATGCGGTGTTTGGATTTCAGCTGCGAATCGAATCTTACATGTGGCCAATGAATGTGTTAGGCGGAATTCCACACAGATCCCTCTTTGCCGCTCGCAGTTAGGTGCTGCTACGGCCGAGAAGTCCATCCCACACAAGATTTGCCAAAAACTCGGGACACTTGCCGGTCCGACATCAAGCCAAGATCTGATTAGTCGAAAGTCTGGACCCAAAGGCCAATCATGACCTAGTATTGGCGCATCCGGAATGCGTCAGAATTTCCTGAAAGTTATTGCCGCTTACGCCATATATATGAAGCGCTATAAAAGTGTTCCTTATTTCGTTTTGGGTCTTAATATACCTTGTGCAACTTTGGTGGTTGTTTTGATGTGGGCGCTAGCTTGGAAGGCTCAGACCGAGAACTAAGCTAAGAAAAATACCGTTACTACAGAATTCCAGTTCAATCGTCTTTGTAACGCGTGGCGGAGTAAAAATCTGCCAGAAATATACCGCGTTCCAGATGAACATCATTTGGAATCACAGATCCGGTATCCTGTAATTCCAAGCAGGGATGACGCATTTCTTTGAACACCATTCTACCGCTCTCCCGAGGCAATAGTCTTGGACGAACATACTGTCCCCCAGTAGCGGAACATGCAGTCACGGCCAAGCTAACAATCACATCCAGAAGAGCGGTACATGCGTTGAGTTCGTGTANTGTATGGGTTTAACCGGCTGGAAAAAAACATCGAAGTAGAGAGGTAAGGAGAAAGATCGAAGCTGAGAAGGAAGTTAGACAAAATAATATATTCTCCCAGTAAATAAAACGAACAGCACTTTATGCGTTATCCTCCGCGGATTGGAAGGGAATCAATCGACAACCGCTAAGTATCCAAACGAAATACGACGGTTTGGTAAGGGCTAAACAGTTCAGTTCCTTGGAGTAGGCCGAAAGATTGAGTAATCGAGAGATAGCATCACAGGGTGGCAGATTTCCACCAGAAGAACGTTGGAGTAATAGACCTGATTAAGTCAGCTGTTCAAAGATGAACATTTTAAAAAAACAGGAAGGAATCTGTGCACTACACAAGTTTGTGCCAAAATCGTAAATGAGCACCTGTTTATTTCAGTGCATGTAGAAGTTCATTAGAGAATCTTCATTTTTCAGACAGAAAAAAATTACTCATTTGCAAACTACGAGTTTACAGCAAACTATGAGTTGTGTTCCACTGGGAGAATGAAATCGATTTCGGTTACCTCCGGCACACGCATTAGGTCTGTATACTTTCGAAACCCAGTATGGCTAACAAATACACGTACGAGCAAAGTAAGATTCAAATAGGAGAAAAATAAGGCTGACCTGTGATTCGTATCACCTCATCCACAATGGTCTGCTGAGCAGCCGCATACTCCTGCTTCATTTCGAGGTGGCTAGAGTTCAGCTGAGACATGGTGGAGTTGCGAAAACGAACACCACCTTTTTGCGCATCGAGAACTTCAAATGATTTGAACTCCCTGAGCGTTTTTTCTTCCTGTGTTTAGGAAGGGGGTGACAGATAAATCGAATTCAGCAGTTGGCTACGCCAAACAGAGTTCAAGTTGCCGACCAACAGGTCGGGACCAAACAGTTTAGTCGTAGTTCAGCTATGTACCTAAGTGAAACCTGTCAACTTAACCAGCAGTATCCATCGTGGCTCAGAGAACCGAAAACTCCGGGTAACGCAGTTTCACAACCGTGGATAATCAGGTCATAAACAAAGTCAATAAAACCGTGATTGCTGCACAGGTAAGTAGCGCAGACAGCGAGCCGTTTCAATTAGCTTAGTATCTCTGCGATGGGAAGACCACCCGGTGGCGATTCAAGCGGTGAATAACGCGTCTGGTGCGCCAGTATTGTGCAATTCAGTAACCGTCATTTTGTTGGCTCCACGCTGAACTAAGAATTTGAATCCTTTGTTCGGATGGACAAAGTACCGACCCACCGGTCACGTCCGATCCGCTCACCGAACAGTTGTGTGGTAACTTGTAACACATACGGACAAAACGAAACACGAAGAAAGCAGTGATGGGGCACACGGCTGGAAATTAGTTCGCCCACATAGAAATAAGGTGCGCAATTGGATTCAGCCACGTACATTATTCGCGTTATGAGGTACAAGAATTTTCCTTTAAAAAAGGTCTCGAGACAATTATGAACAAGTACCTGGATGGGCTTCAATAGAAATTTAACAACTCGATATTCTGAGAGTCTTGGGCTTATTGTCAGGTCTCGACCACTTCCGAGGATGCCTAGGTGGATATCCAGTCATTCTTGAATGTCTATTTGGAAACTAGGGTTCATACCACGGCATTTGACAAATTTATCAGGATATCTCAAAAAATGTTCCAAAGTTTTGGCATATAAACGGCACAGTTGGGAAAAACAAACGGTGTTGAACAGATGGAAAGGTAAATTTTGATATCGAAAAAGCTTACCGGATAGTCCGTCCATGATGTAATCCTCCTTGTACAGTGGTCGGAAAATCGCCTCATTTTATAGGCCTCTTACAAATGGTTTTTGGTTCCAACAAAGATACTCTTGATAGACAGTTACTAGTTCTTTCAATTTTTTTTATTCTAAACTCCACACGGAGCTCTAGACCCGACGGTTCATCATTCGACACCACCCACCAACTGTCGTTTAGTCCTGCCAGTACTCCACTTCTCGTGTTACTTATGGATTTCACGATAAGTTGGTCAAAAAAAATTTTTTGGCATACGGAGACACGCGAAACGGAAGAGAATTTCTGGAAGCATGGTACTCTACGACAGGCTCAATAAACCGGTGCATCGAACCGGATCCAATTTACGCACCTCTACGCGCGAGAGATGAACATCGCAACCGAAACACTCAAGGAGGACCGAATAATGGATTCACAGACGAAGAAACAAGGAACTCCTCGGAGTCAAATCAATGAGGTCACAACCGGAACTCGGAAGGACAAAGGTCACTCCAACATCGACGAACAACCAATGGAACCGCCCGACAGAATAACTAATCGCGGTCAAAGGTCATCCCCGGCTACCAGCACCTATATCAACACACACGCAATACTACTGAACGCACAACCACTAACCCACCGCTACGCACAACTACGCACCTCGATTGGCGATGAAACGTTTGCAACCAAATTGCTTAGCTCAGCGAACAAGCCAACGACCATCTACGCTACCTGAGCTACCGACATTCTCATCTATAGAAGATCCCTCCAGTGTTAGCAACTCAGTATCTAAGGGACGAACTTACTGACTGGAAGGTCTAACTTCGGCATCCAGACTGTGTCTGTCTGCGCTTGAGCAAACGGACAGTAATTTCAGCCCTAATGCCTCCTTCGGGTGACATGAATGCTTGGCACTGAAACAGTGCTACAGCTGAGCGACTGACTAAGCATTACATATATATATATATATATATATATATATAATCCTAGTACAAAGTTCCACAAAACTAAAAGACTGTTCTACGTCATAAAATTCAATGCAAACCAAACAAGTTTCCATATACGGTGGACCTTCACTGGACCGGTTGCCGTAGGAGTTGAAAATGTGGTCATATTAATCAAGCGAAATATATACACTACGTGCGGGAAATGACTCACTTTGAGAGTGACACGCATGAAATAACCCAGCTGTTCGTTGCTATCCAGTTTGACGGACTTGCCAGGTTCCAAGTTCAGTTTACGAGCCGACTGCACACAGATGACAGAGTTAGGGATGAATGTAGTGAGAAGAGTCTCAAGCAGACCTGTATAAGGTGTAAACTATAAGCTACGGACAGGAGAAATTAGTCGACCCACAGATTAAAAGAGTATGAGAAATATGCTGGTGGGACATCAAGTTAACTCGACTTACTCCTCTAAACTCATCTTCAATCGATTCTTCAAGCTTGTCCAACTTGGACTTCAGCTCTAATTCGGAGAAATGGCAAGAGTAGCACAACAGGAAGGTCATCCAGAATGTGGTTAGTAAGTCAACATAGCTGATCAAGTGTACGTAGTTGACACAGACAACATATAAACTGAGTATCCACACATTTGCAAAGGGGGCGAGATGAACCAAGTGGTTGGAGCGCGAATTTACTGACCGGAAGGTCCGTGGTTCGAACCCGACCTCTGCCTCCCGACTTCCCCTGTCTAGGCTTGGGCGACCTGGTAGTAGCTCATCCCTCGTGCCTGCTCCGTGTGGCATGGCAGCTAGGCACCGAGAGGGTGTTACGGCTGAACGATTATTATTATTTTTTATTATTACTTTCACACACATTCGAAATCACTACACTTCGTTTAGTTTGGTATTACTTGATCCCGTTGGCCTATAGGCTAGTCTCCTGGAAAACACCGAAACCTTTCTAAGTGAGCCTGGTAATGCATTAATAATGTAACGTAATCGATTTGGTGATCGAGTATAGATGTGACGGTTGCCATATAAAACAATCTGCTAGTGTTTGAGATAGTTCAGTGCTTACGACGTGAACCTACAGACTGAGTCGAGCTTCAGAACCTTGACTGCTACTGTCTAGGCTTGGACAACCTGGCAATATCTCAGCCCTCATGCTTCCTTCGAGTGGAATGGCATCGAAAGGGTTTTACCACTGAATTATTACTACTATTATTATTTAAGGCCAAAAGTACCTCAGAATGAAACACTCACTGAGTAGAGGTCCTATCCAGCGATGTACAGTGAACTAAAAGCTATTGACGAAAACGGACTGAGTGGCAGTAGGTTTATTTTGACAACCACACGAGCTACAGCGCACGACGTAGTGTTCAACAATGATAACGGAGCATGAGCCACAGTATTTCAGACTGTGCGGATTCCACGTGAACTGATTCAATTTAGGTAAACTCAGCATAGATGAAATTCTGAATACCAACAGATGAAGGGAACCTGTGAATTAGAAACAAAGGCAAATGTAGGGAATCGAATGATATTAAACCACGTGCGGAAGCAAGTTGGGGAAACGGTTCACCTACGGTAATCTTTTTTCAAACGCGTACCCACAACTGGCGACAACCACCAGAATAGTCCATACAAGAAGCTTAAATGTTTGGTATCACAGTGATGTAAATGGACATTAAAGCTTCCTAAGTGAGGAGTCCACAAAAACAAATGAGAGGCTCAAATAATATTTCGTTTTGGCCTATTTAACCAATCGCTTCCAACTTCTAAATACCAGAAGTAAGATGGTATTGATTCGTACCCCAATTCACTGCCTATTATGGAAAAGATAGTAATACAGCATTCATTATACTGAACGGCTGAGATAACTACCTACCTCCAACCGAGAGGGTTTACGGCTGAACGATTATTATTATTTTTTATTATTACTTTCACACACATTCGAAATCACTACACTTCGTTTAGTTTGGTATTACTTGATCCCGTTGGCCTATAGGCTAGTCTCCTGGAAAACACCGAAACCTTTCTAAGTGAGCCTGGTAATGCATTAATAATGTAACGTAATCGATTTGGTGATCGAGTATAGATGTGACGGTTGCCATATAAAACAATCTGCTAGTGTTTGAGATAGTTCAGTGCTTACGACGTGAACCTACAGACTGAGTCGAGCTTCAGAACCTTGACTGCTACTGTCTAGGCTTGGACAACCTGGCAATATCTCAGCCCTCATGCTTCCTTCGAGTGGAATGGCATCGAAAGGGTTTTACCACTGAATTATTACTACTATTATTATTTAAGGCCAAAAGTACCTCAGAATGAAACACTCACTGAGTAGAGGTCCTATCCAGCGATGTACAGTGAACTAAAAGCTATTGACGAAAACGGACTGAGTGGCAGTAGGTTTATTTTGACAACCACACGAGCTACAGCGCACGACGTAGTGTTCAACAATGATAACGGAGCATGAGCCACAGTATTTCAGACTGTGCGGATTCCACGTGAACTGATTCAATTTAGGTAAACTCAGCATAGATGAAATTCTGAATACCAACAGATGAAGGGAACCTGTGAATTAGAAACAAAGGCAAATGTAGGGAATCGAATGATATTAAACCACGTGCGGAAGCAAGTTGGGGAAACGGTTCACCTACGGTAATCTTTTTTCAAACGCGTACCCACAACTGGCGACAACCACCAGAATAGTCCATACAAGAAGCTTAAATGTTTGGTATCACAGTGATGTAAATGGACATTAAAGCTTCCTAAGTGAGGAGTCCACAAAAACAAATGAGAGGCTCAAATAATATTTCGTTTTGGCCTATTTAACCAATCGCTTCCAACTTCTAAATACCAGAAGTAAGATGGTATTGATTCGTACCCCAATTCACTGCCTATTATGGAAAAGATAGTAATACAGCATTCATTATACTGAACGGCTGAGATAACTACCTACCTCCAAGCTCATCATCAAAATCAGACCGAATAATGTATTCATTACGTCGTTGTATCATTTCCAGATCAATTGTTGACTGAACCATTTCTTGGAACTTGGAGAAATTCTCCACAGCAACCTGGAATTCACACAAGACATTTCCAAAGTCAGGGGAGGACAGATGTAGTCCCCTGTGCAAACAACCATTACGCTATTACGTTACTCGAACAAACTAGGAAGTTATCAAAGACTTATAGGGCACACACAACGTTTGCAAAAGAAGCCTCAAAAACGAGTGCACACTACATACAACGTTGTAGAAGCGAAACATTTTCCCATAGATGTTAAGTTTAGGGAAGCGATATTATGGACGAGGGGAAAAGGTCATCCGTGCTGTTCAAAAATAACCGAGGCGAAAACAATTAGACACGGGTCATAATAGAAATCCGACGGAACTAGCAAAAAGCGATCACCAGTGGTTGGCCAGTGGTAAGTAGTAAGGGGATTAATGTGTATGACATTCGATACGGACTTGCTTGTGATCAGCGGCTGGACGCAGTTGTGATAACAGCAGTGAGAGAGTGGTGTGTGTGGTCAGCGGGTAAGACCACAGGGGCCATTAAGTCAGAGCAGATGGATGGCTTGCAACAGGCTTTCGCATATTAGTCCACTGATATTCTTATCTCGGATCTATAGCGGTGTCAAAGAGAGGCACGCAGTATCACATGATGTTCTGCGGGAATCGACTGTGGTTGTCGAACCACGTCCAGGCATAGAATGAACCGACAGATGTCGGTGACTCGTGATCTATATACTTATATCATACTTATATCATACTACCTTTCGTTGGAGTTCGATATATTTAATACGTATTAATGTGGCTGACGAGTGAGTGATCCTGCTGGTCATTATTATGCAGCTGTCCCAAGCAATGATCATAACTGAGCTACGCTTCAGCACACAAACTGAGTGAGTGATCTATCTAAAGGTAACCAGACGAACAGTAGAAAGCTGAATATTTGTAAGGTGGATGTGGAAACACTAGGTGATCTACGGGAGAACCCTACAACAGAGATAGAAAATACCGACCATTGGACAGATACAACCTGAAATCACGAACACAGATCCATGGTTTACAAACGGAAGTTGTTTTACTCTAACAAACATTTCCTTCTGCCCTAACCGTCTTTCTCAACGCTGAAAATCTATTCCTCCCAGGTATCAATATCGTTTTCAGGGCTTTAGTAACCCATTTTTCAGATTCCTATTTTCCCGCATTCCAAAACACTGTCAAAAAAGAACATGTTGGCTGCAAATTAGAGTGCCACAAGAAAAATCTGTCACAAACCTAGTATATGAGCAAGGCATCAAGTGCCTTTCGCCTGAAATCTCCAAAGGTGGATCACCTCGATGACAAGCATATGGCATAGATCGCATTAAAAACACTTCACTGAAAATTCGAGTGAGTCGCACAGCAATCAGTCTGATAAATTTGAAGCACAGACAAAGGATAAGGACTGACTGTCTTAGTAACAGAGGTGCTGAACTGTAGGAAACCGCAAAAATTTCCTAAAGCATTCTCCTCCGACTGCTCATGTATTGAATGGTGGGAGCGAGGCTGAGCCGCCATCTGTACAGAATTTACCAAAGATTAAGAGGCACAGTGGACTGTGATATTCCCGCAGCCGGCTTGTGCTCCAGCAGAACCAACATTGTGACCACACCGAATAACCCACAGTCATAGACCACGCAATCGACATTAGTTAACTGTTGGAAACCACTGATACGCAATGGGCTCGGAAGGAAAGCACTCACCTGAAGCGGTTCTATCAAGTAGTTCTGGACAGCTAACGAAGTCTGACCACCACACTGACGGAGCAAACTGATAGCGTTCTGTAGGCGAGCAATAGCTTGGTAGATTCGATACACATCCTGAAGTCAAACAAGACATAGTATTAATTTGGCAGTCAGTCTTCACATGTTCTCTTGTCATTAGACGAGACCTTAAACGTGAGGGTGAAAACAGAACGTAAGTAAATAGAAGTTGACACATGCTTTCCTATCAGTCACTCACCAAATGCATAACCAACGTAACAGTGAAAAGCAGGCAAACAAAACATACATTGGCTTATTGTGCCTTGCAGCATTCACCTATTGAATCCCGAACACAAATCAGCTGATCGGACGCTCAGGAAGAGTGGCCCCATATTTTTCGGACGAGATAACATCAAAATTTACACACGTTTTATTCCACAGTAGGAGCCTTAAGTTCAAATTAACCAGGAAGCTTGCTCTTCCATCCAGCTGATGAAAAAAGTGGCGACGTGAAGTACAGAAGGATGGAGTGCCAATTACTACAATGAGCTTATAATCCAAGCGAATTACGGTGGGTTGGGTCGGGAGAACATTGGTACAAAAATAACCTCATTCGTGATAGTCGACTACCATCTACTCTCGCTCCACTCACATCAAAGCGAATTCGAAATAAATGTACGAATCCGTTCAAGTGGATGGGGTGGTAGTAAATATCTATTTTGGGAAGTATTCGTTTCAAGGATTTGGTGCGGGAGTGGCGCGCAATACTCTCGATTATTCGCGAAAAAGTCTTCTATTACCAGTGTAAAAAACAATAAATTAGCCAAGAGGTTTGATTTCGGATCAGTTGAAGCGGTGTTGCGTACGTAGTTGTCAAAACCACCAAAATCGAGGCCCTTTCAGTAGGGACGACGCATGAGTTTGAAAATTTGTGCGTGCTGTGAAGAAACAGAGTAACCGCAAAACAACAACTATAGTCTGTCACACGCGAGCAAATGGTTCACTAAACCACAGGATTCCCTACATAAATGCGCAAACGCAAACACATCAGGGGGGGGGGAAATGATACCAGTCCTTCGCAGAGTCTTATCAGAAAAAGTTGGACAGTGCTGAAATCCTAATCAGCTCAGGAAGGGTAGAGTGAAGATTAGTGAAGTAGACTAAATTGGACCAAATGCCCAACCCAAACCAATCAGGGGGGGGGGGGAAATGATACCAGTCCTTCGCAGAGTCTTATCAGAAAAAGTTGGACAGTGCTGAAATCCTAATCAGCTCAGGAAGGGTAGAGTGAAGATTAGTGAAGTAGACTAAATTGGACCAACAAGATGTGGTCAGCGGATACGTACCGCATAGGTCAAAACAACCAGCTAAGTACAACAGAAAGACTTCAACAACAACCTCCAGCATCTCGTTACCTATGGTTACCCCAAAAATGGTACGAAATAGACTGAAAAACTGGTGTTCCGTTTTCTACCGAAGACATGCTAGAGATCTCGTTGTTAACAAAAGCCTAAGGATGCGCGAGAGCAAACGGACTGAGCACCGGTGAATAAAAACACGGCAACCAAGTGCCGTGACTCCCGTAGCTTCGATTAGCCTAGCATGATTAGGGTAAACTCGTGTCAGCAATAAGAAGGGAGATACAGAGATACAGTTTTCTGGTACATCGAGCGTCTTTCCTTTTCATTCACAGAGCACTAACCCGCGTTCAGTGTCGCAGATACCTCATTTTAACAACGGTAGTAGGTTTTAAAGGTCATTCAGTGAGATGCAAAGGAGGATTTGTTCGTTTATCAAGACACCCAGACCTGACTTTGCTGAGGTGTTTGGAGTACAATTGGTTTGTAACTTTCTAGGTAGAGCAGCATAGGAGTGTTGCCGAGACGGAATATTTGTAATGTATGTTCCCTTGCTTAATAGGGTTCTGCCCATGAGGACGTCCCTTTTTCCTGTCCGCAGAAACTGACGTCACCCTTGACTTCAGAGAATCACTGCTTTAGGAAGTTTCGGCGGCACGTACAATATCTATCTGGAGAACAATACACGCATCTCTGGGACTTGATACTGGATTATTGTGACATTGTTGTGGGAAACAGGAACTCTCAAACACAAGTAATCTCAGGGGCACACGTTTCGTTTGGCTGGTTTCGTTCAAGAACACAACCAGCCTATCACCTCACTTTAGTATAAGATTGCCTCAGACTTCCAGCACAAGTTAATGCTGCGGAGCGTCTCAACAAGACATCGCTGGACTGGATGCCTGGAAGATTAGCCCTCCATACTTAAGTTAAAACAGACGCGAATGAACATGGTTTCAGGCAATGTTAGCCACTAGTAATCGGGACAGACCAAAACAACATGCAGACGCACGGATTCGGAGTGGAGTTAGTAGCAGAACATTCAGTCTCGAGCATGAGAGTGCCGAATAACAAAGTAATATGAGCAGGTCCCCCATTCAATGACAGCGAAAAGCCTCGGATGGCAGAGTTTCTCTTGATCCGATGACATCTGTCTTACGGTCGATTTCAAAGACAGGACAATGTCACTTACAGCATGAACATAAAAGACCTGATTAATCAGAAGCAGCAGCGAGAGAACGATTGATGAGCGCAACGTGGTTTTATTGTCCCACATAAACTATCTGAAAGTGAAAAGCATAAAGTGATGTGTTTTCAGTTTGATTAAGGGGTCTACGCTCCAGAAGGTTCCAATAAAAACCTGTGGACAGACTTCATCCAGACAAATCCGTAGTGCCTATGCACAGCACTGCTTCACATCGAGCCGTTAAGCGCGGAAAATAATGAAATATCCAACCCGAAAATCCTAACAGTTTTGGCGAACCCACACCATGAACTGTGAATACACAATCCGCCTCTTAAAACCAAACCACGCGAAAATTTTCTCCGTACAAACCTCTGATAGCTCAGTTGAACACAGAAACTATCGGGTTTTTACAATGCCAGCATGTGTTCCGGTGAAATGATGTAAATGTGCGGCGACAGTAATATCCATCATCGTACAATGCAGTCTGACGGTTTCCCAGTGTTATCAGTGCTGACAGGAAAGCGACAGGCAAAATGAACCGAGCTGACGACAAAAAGTAAAAGTGCGATCAGAATCTCGCACACCTGATGCCAGTGTACAAAACAGAAGTCAAATGAAACAGCACAAAAGTCAGACCAACCAATCGGTCATGATCAGTTCATCATCGTTAAACGTAACGTAAATTGAAGGCAACAAACCCTGGCATGGTACTCTTCCTCTCAAACATTCACACACACACACACACACCACACACACACACACACACACACACACAGGACAGCAGACAAACCATTGCACGTAGGGGGCGTGGGGAAAATTTGAAATGCCTGACAAGTCCTTGTTTTCAATATGCTCATGCACATACATATTCACATACAGACGTAATCGGGTAAACAGTTCAAACGGAGCGAAGATGAACACCAATCAAACCTATGCATAGAGCTCCACTGCACAAAAATAACCCTTGTGAATGTGGTATTTAAAAACGGGGCTAAAGCGGTTCAAATGAGTTCGGACGAGTCAACTGACGAAACTAGACTGACATAATGGGAACCGCGCTCATCCAAATCTGTCTGATACTGGCACCGTTATGTATGCACAGCAACCGAGCGACGCCAATCAGTTTCGAGGATTGGATGCGGGACGCGGACAAACTGAGCATCGCCAGCAGTGCTCCATACAGTGAGTCACTCAGTGTGTGTATGTAGTTGCAGGTTTTCGGAACATTAATACCACAATTTGCAAAGTGTTGAATCAAAAGGTAAGAAACCTAGCTATATAGCACATGACGAGCATTATGAAACAATCTAGCTGAGTTCGTCTTTTGGAAAAGACCCTAAGGAACAACTCATGGCATAGCTACTCTATCCCTAAACGCCATGTGAACTAACTGTGCTCCACCTGGGGCGATGGTTTCCAACACACTTTAGGGAAAAGGAACTGCTGATGTCAAGACAGCTGGAAATGGTAGACGTAAAAACTACAATCCGTGCTATCCGTGACGTCCAGAATAGACATAAAAACCCCAAACGCGTTTTGCTCTGCTGAAAGTGATTTTGGTTTTTGCTTCCTATGGAGTGTGAACATGTATCTGGTCGTCCACTACTTCACTGAGTCTTCTGAATCATACAGTTTGTACCCTAAAATTATCCGGATCGATGCACAGCAACTCACATTATTTACCATGGCTGGTGGATCCAATCTAGATTGCTACGCGTCGTGCCGTCTAGCTAAAGTTTTTCTACTTGGGATCATGTCGTGTCATGACACCCAACAGATGCAAACTATCCACATGAGATGTCGATTGTGAGAATTACATCCACCTACTTTCGCAATCCACTACTCACAATGCTTCTGATATCTCGAATATCGTAGCGACTGAAACAGGAGGCGACCTGGTGCAGCATATTCAGTTGCCTGGAAACATCAAAACCGAGAGATTCAGCTGGGTTCTAGGTGAGTCTCTCGAAAATCCAAATTAGTTTGCAAATGAGTGTGTATTCGCTATATCCACTTACCTTCCGAAGAATGGAATGAGTTGGGCTTCGATACCTCTAACACTTGTACTAGCTCCGCCGTTAAGCTGAATCAGCAAAGCTCGCGTGCATCCCTAATCCTGAATGTTTCAAGGCTTTATTATACCGGGCCGCCTGCTGGGGGCCCCCACTCATCGAAACAGCCTTACTATCTACGCCAAACATATAGTTGGTACGCTTAATTCTCACTACTTCATTTCAGCAACATCTCGACGGACACAGTAACGCAGCTTCCACGCTTGTTATTGTCAGTGGTTTCATCTTGTTTCGAATCATATCTTTCAGACAGCTAGTTAACGGTTAAATTGTAAGGTGAAGTTAAGTGTTACGACTAGAAAGCGTACAAGAGTCTGAGTTGGGAGGACCATTGAGGCATATCATGGACAGCATATGAAGAGCCATGACTGAAATGTACAAATCGTCAGACGTGACAGTATGGCGACAGGCTTTCATTCAAGCAGGCAATGAAAAGAAACCGGCCAGATATATATACGCTCAACGTCCCGTATAGAATTGCCCAGCTCTACGAATACTTTTCGGAAAACAGTGTATCTTGGTGCCGATCTCTTCAATCCGTTTCAAGCACCGCATCACGGTCAACACATGTCTTGTACGTATGAAATCGGAGCACCTGCTTTTACGCATAATGGCGAGAGTTACTGTCTGTTGGTACTAAACGTAAGGAGTCCCAGAAATTGCTCTTCATGAAGATGTGAATTAATGAAATAAAGTGGAGTTTTTCAAGCAACTTATTGCACCGTTAGATTATCGACATGAAGCTATCATAGTAAGTCATGGGTGGCAGATAATGATCACGTGGATTTGCGAGTGTGCGTTCGGTCTTACACTGTGGTGGGCCTTGTTCGCTGCGATGACTGAAGGCCACAATGTTGGGGGCGTCCACACGCGCACAGATCTCGTCGAATGTGCTGAGGCCGTGCCCCACCGGCGAGCTGTATGCAAAGCATGAGGGCGTTGTCTGAATGCCGGATGGCGAGTGCAATAAGTGATAAAGAGAGCTGAGAGAATTCATTCATGGGCACGCCTGCGGGTGTTAAAAAAAGATACCTCCGTTACAGTTTCCCAATCACTGACTGGGACAACATGGAGTGGACCACAATCAGTGCCAGTGTTCATAAAACGTCGATCTTTGGAAGTGAGCTAGGAAAAAATGGTGAGAAACAAAGTTCGGATGCTCCGGCGTTGGCAGAATAAATTTGGAACCATTAGTTACTTCTCCTCCAGGTTCCAAAGGGACGGTAAAACGAAGGAATCGGCACTGTCAATCATAACATGCAGCCACTGTAGCTTCTGTCATTTTCAGGAGGGTGTGCTACCACAAAAGTGGTTAAGGCAAACTGAGCAAAGATGGAAAAAGTAACCTGTTTCAGTTTAATAGTTGTCGAGAAAATTGGCCTCCTCAGGATCATTTAGTTTCATATAAAGCTTCACTCACCAGTGGACAGATACATGTATATATTGTTGTAGATCGTAACACCAGTTCGTGTCATGCCTTATTAATAATGCCAACTCAGTGCCCCTCTTTGAGAGTTCATACCTACGTTTCATATCCACGAGGAAGAGCTCAGACGAAAACGCCAACAGCGTGCCGGGAATATGAATTTCAAGATGAACACTGAAAATGTTTCCCTCATCTGGAGAGAACACCCACCAGAACAGATCATCTACGGTTTGTCCATCGCAGCTACTGTTCGGAGCTTTAAGAGGACCTGTCTTAGATCGAAAGACTGACCGTCATTTGAGTCAAACTGAGTATAAAACTTCCTCATAAGAAATGCGAAGATCACCAAATCCACAGCTGGAATTTCCTGTGGTCATGAATTCGTGGGCTTAAAAGAGGAAGCTTAACTGAATGCACGCCTGTAACCGAAGGGAAAAATTGTTCGGAATCTTGAAAAACTTCATGAAAAAACATCGCTTGATAAGCGCTTAGAGTTGACATCATTGCAGAGTATTTATCTGAGTCCCGCGAGGAAACTCCACCGATAGTCGAATAAAAACCAGTGAGGTTAAGTAGATAAAGTAGGAATAGTGGGATGACACCCGACGAAGGCTTAACTGTCAAAATAAACCGGCTTCCATCAGTCCCACCAAAAAGCCATTTCAGAAAGAGCCAACAGTGACGCGGTATGGAAAGATTACTTTGGCTTAGACATCTGGTCGCTACTAAAATTGAACAAAAAACATCTGTTTTTGCATAGCAGTATGGAGCATTGCAACGTACTCAAATAGTCTCTTCTTTGACCAACTTGGCCGTTGAAATTGTAGTGCATTTCAATAGAGTTGACTCTTGTTTGATACACTCTTAAAGTGTGGGTGTTTTGTGATCGAATGCAATATGGCGCATAATTTACTTCCCTCATAGGGTGGACTGTTAAACAAGGCCTTTATTGCCCAGAGGCTCCAAGTGAAAGTGAAGAGCTCCTATCTGGCAACAGTCCAGCGCACTTATACCCCAACTGAAAAGCGCACAAACTATTAGAGAGCTTCAGAGATGTGGGATAGCTGAGAATCGTTGCAAAGACGATCAGTTGTCCCATTTGACAGTTGTTTATGTTCAGCAGTGTTAGTCATCATGTTAGGATATCCATAAACAGCTGTTTTGTAATGAGATAAAGCCAACTCAGTTTACACAAACAGCTCGAGTTGTAGGACTGTCCTGATGCATCAAAAAGTGGTTACAAGAATAACAGAATATTCCTGCGTAGCATTCCAATAACAGCTTGTTCCAAACAGGAAACGGTGTATTTCGCGTATTTTTGGACATATTGATGGAAACAAAGCAGTCCAACCATTAAACTCAGTTATGCATCCGGTGGCTAGATAAAGCTGAATTGCGTTGGAAACTACTCCAAACACGCTACTCATGATATTAAAAAAAAACTTTGGAGTAAAAATGAGGCAAACGTTTGCACGGTTGATGGACAACTGGTTATAAAGTGATGTTTGTAGGCACAAATAGTCAATCGTGTTCGGCAAACGGGTGCGAAAGGTCTTGGCGGCGAGGGCGTTTCGGCGAATCCATAAAAAGTCAAGGGAGAAGAAACAAACTGGAAACGAGGAGTGGGACGAATCAGTAGAGCCTAACTGCAAGAGGTGGTTGCGACGAACTGAATACTTCAACAACCACACGTACAGAGTAAAACCGACGCGAGGAAATGGCTGGCTCGGGAAACAACTCCTAAAAACGGGCTACATCACTTTTCTCGACAATACTACAACAAAACAGCAACTCAAAACCAATCGGTTCACATGCTACAAAACGGTACTCCACACAAAGACGTGAAAATGACATCGCTCGTGCAAGTTCATGCAAGTCCATCTGGATATTTTCGGTGTTTAAACACACTTGAAAAAATTTTCCCCATTTTTTTGTGAAGCTGGACCATGTTAACTTATGCAGTTCATAGTACTGCGGTCAACCGTTAACAAGCATAACGTTATCAGGAGCTAGTTTCAGATTTATTGGATTTTAATGAATGATGTGGGAACTGACCACGGTTAGTACACTTGAAGCAGTATAACCCTGGAAAAAACCGTTGCAGCTTATGATTCCTACTGAAAAAACGGTCATATCGGCTTTCGAGTCTATCATCCAATGACTAAGTACCTCAAACCGATTTTTCTTAATTCACGTAACTACTGTTAGAAAGGTAAACCCATATTGTCTTATGTGACGAGAGATGGAGCGAGAGAGCGAGATGACTGCTTGGCGTTTTCCATCTTTTGCATATATGTCAACTGGTCTTTTCAGGAGAATATGAGGATCACCGCGTCACAGCTCGGCTTACTACCTGGAAAACGACGAAAATACGCTACTACTCCCTCATCAGTAGTGCGTAATTACCACATCCCTTAATGTACATCTGGCTTGACTAGGACGAATGCACCAAGCAGCCGCTAAAACACTCAGTCTGTCTTTCTTTTTTTTGTAACAAAACAGAACTGCTCAAACGACCATGGACGCTACCGTATCCACTAACATGTTGCTACAACAACCTACCCTGCTGCAAGAAACAACGAGATGGATTACTGCAAAAAAGGGAGGACGCTTATGAGGAAGGCAAACAAATGGACTATTACCACACAAATACGTGGTGAATCTCGGTGACGCATGGCCTTGAAAACTGTTCGTTTTCAGTATGTGTATAAACAGTATCGTTATGTTTTCAAGGGAAATAAACAAATATAGACTATCAAAGTGAACTGCTCACCATAACACAGTGATTCAACCTGTTTTTCATGGCTCAGCCATACATGGGACATCCTAAAAGGTGATTCATTCATCACCGGAGGGTGCATGGCGTTTATTTTTCTACAAAGCCCATGTGTCTAATGGAAGCAAATAGACAAAATTTATTAAAATCCACGTCCGCGTCATGATTACCAAGTAGCAAGTCGTAGGAATGGCAAGTATTGCTGTGATATTACTTCAGATGAGATCAACCATATACGACGCAAAATGTCTGAACCGGTGAACGAGTATGATTCTTAAGATGTGCAGAAAATATGCACTTACTGCGGCACAAGCTTACGCGCCTATGGATTAAAATACGCTATGATTGATGGTGACAAGACTGGAAAACTAAACACTCTAAGACTAAGAAAATCGTTTGAAAGAGCCAATTCAACGAAAAGGTCACCTTTATTCCATACAGCACCAAATAGCCAATAGTTACAAAGTGCCATCAGCTGATTCGCTACAGTTTATACACCATGAGTCAACAGCAATAATAATTCGGAGCTAGGGGCAAATACTGAATGGAGGGAGTATGCTTCGGCCAATATATTATTATGGCGCGTGTATGTGGGACTCATAATAGTCCGTGTGTTCGTGTCGGCCCTCAGACCGCCCACCAGGGATGGCCACACAACTTATTCGTAGTAGCTCGGATTTGAACCGAGTTACGACAAGGCCGTTCGTTATAATTCCTCACTGATGGCTTCTCAGGTAGATTGGGCGCACAGCAAGATGAAACTGATTCTCCCAACCCAGGCTACCGCGCAGTCTATCACGAAGCACCCCCATAGCATTTCCACTTGCAACACAAGAGACCACTAAGGTGTGGTCCCCGTTTTAAGCACTATATCTGTCAACCCTGGGGGTCAAAACCACTGGTCGTGATTTTGTTTGATGAGGAGAGCAATTCACTTCGAAACTATACGCCACTCTTCGAGATGTGACATCATCGACAAGTAGTTGTGTAGTACAGTGGAGCAGTGTATCCAGCAAATTACTGTACTGCAATCTAAAAGGTTGTTTCGGAATCGAAATCGAGAAAATACAGCTTTGAGGAAGCTTGGAAGGAGTAGCTACCAAGTTTCTGCACAAAATTTCAGGCAGATATTGTTTGCAGGTAAAAAGCACACCTATTATTCATTACCTACTGAAAACCAAAACGCTGAGAGCTGCTACTGACATCACTATTTTGGTACATAGTAGTGCCCAGCGGAAAGTGGAAAGCCTCGCTTTAAGGAAGAGTTCTTCCATTCTGCAGACGAGTCATTACAGTCGAATTCCAGAGTGAGAGAAAAGTTCACCGCAACAGCCAAGAGTTTTTCCAGGCTTTGAAGGGGAAGTCTTAAAAAAACTGGAAGTGCGAATAAGAAAGACACTGAGGAGTAATGTCTAATTTCCTGATTAAACAAGGGTCGAAACGTTTCAGAAGAGCTTGGTAAACAATCGGCAGCCCAAATAAAAACTACCGATCGTTTACCAAGCTCTTCTGAAATCTAAATAATCTTTTCCTTGAAAAAGAAGACTAATGTATGCAACGCAATGTACATTTATCTAACATGGTGCGTATGACCATAAAAGATGGAGAAAGTATAGGCGAACCGTTATCCACACCTTGACAAAGAGTTGGCTTTAAACGACTTGCCTGTAGCCCGCACCCTTGTTTACGCTGAAGTTTCCGACCAATTCGTTGAAAGTCAGGCATCCGGCGCAAAAAGTCATCGTGTAAGGACTGGCGAACTCCAGTCTCTTCAACCATCGCCTCGACCATATCTAAACGTTCATCTAAATCAAGTAGGAGCAAAGAAGGTAAGCCATGTAAGTCACGCTGTGTGGTTTGCTGATCAAATTCCCTTTAAGCTGCTGGAAAATCTCATAAGATCGCTTGAACTATATTAATAAAATTTCACTCGACATATGAGACAAAAACTGATGACCACTGAAGGAACAGTTGAGGTGCGGTGGCAAAACATCCAGCAATCCAGTGGAATAGTTTGTCACGTTACGGCGAAAAACGAAGAGACAAACACCGTGTATGATCCTAGCAGTCAGTCAGTCAGACCAGTAGGAGCCACTGTGTAATAAGGGACCCATCCCATAAGAGTAGTCGAAGGTCCGCTAAACAGAATACTCACAATTGCCGACTATGCGCTTAAATGAGCGGGAGGAAACGTAACTCCTGATTGGCATCGCGAAGTGCACTAAACAGTGCTGTTCTCGTTCTTCGGCCCAATAATGTCAAGCAAAAGTGATGCATTCGTGAAGAAATTTGGCAGCGCAAGAGGGGAAACTATCCTAACGTGTGGTGCGAATCATTTCTACAATTCATGTAAATTATTCGTTTTTATGGTAAACATATGGGAAAGGGACAAAAACTCAGGAACAGGAACCCAGAAGTTGTGGAAAGGTTTCAAGCATTCCAGTTGCGAGTAACGGACAACGGGATATGCATTCGTGAAAATTGGAATTCGGCTGCAGTATGACTGAATCAAAGTTATCATACAGAAAGACGAAAAATATATTTTCTTGACGGAGCTGCAGTGTCTATTTAGCGAAAAAGTGTATAATTTTAAAGTTACAAGGTTACCATGGCACCACAAGACCAGGCGTCTTCCATATCGATCTTCAAAAGCCATGGTAGCAAACCATGAAGCAAAGCAAAATCTCTACATTAATGACATATTTTTAATAACCAAAGCTTGAACAAGTCAGAGAGTATCAAAGTGCTTTCGGATGAACTAGTCTTGCATCACGTGATTATCGCAGGGACGCGAAGCTACATGAGAGTACAGATCCCAACGTCAGAACACCCTCTGCATAAAATACAACCAGGGAAATTTTAACACTCAAAAGTCGCAGTGTGAATGATAAATCGTCATCGGTTCGCATTTCGGCATTTGATGCATGCCTTTTACTGCTTCAGGACCAAAAACCAAATACACAAGCATGGATGTATGAACCACATAAAGCTCCCACACGATAGGTGCAACAAAAAGAATGAAATGAAACAGATAACAACTAGCTGCATGAGGCGGCCCGATGCAGCACACTCAGAATCACAAACGATAGATTTAGCCGGGTTCTAGGTGAGTCCCTCTGCAAAACCTAATTCGTTTGCAGATTGAGCGTATTTCTCTAATTTCGTGCAGCTTGGTTTCAAGTAGAACATAAGGATGACGGAAACCCGGGGACTGCGCCTACCTGTTGAGCCCCAAAAAGGGCGCAACCGATCGTAGGCTGTCGACAACAAACTTATGAGTAGTGAATTACGAATAAACTAGCTGCGGTGTTTACCTGCAAATAGAATTAGTGTGTACAATCAGTCAGCATCTTAGTTCTACCTGGACGATGAGGCTAGCCCTGTAATATATTCCCCCCTATTAACTTTTACATACAACGGTAAACAAAACTGTGTAGAATGGATTCATCCGGCAACTACTTCATTAAAACTGATCCCGGGATTGAAGTGTTTCAAAAATGAAGATAATCAAAAACACTACATACTGATTTTATTGACGTCAGTAAGCGGTTGTCGTAACCATTGTGCAAGTAGACGTTGTCCTTGCTGTGTTCGGCAGTTATTCAGCACACCGTAAACACTTTGGTAACGATTCTCTAAAAACGGTAAGGATAGGTTGGCATAAAAATTGCAGAGTAGGATCACCATACTAACACATAAAAAATCACGCAAGTATAGCACGCAAGGTCTAAAACTCATATTTGGACCGCCTAGTTCGCTGCTAGCTGTGAAGATGTGTTATCGTATATTAAGGTTCACTGCATAGATATTCGAAAACACAGGACCATTAAAGAGGCCGATTTCCCACGGCGACCTAACTGTTCAAGCCATCCTTATAAACCAAGCTGAGAAAAGTCAAGCGAGAAAGGCAACCCCAACCGACCCAGTCACTATTGAAACGCGGTACCACTGGGGCCACCTAATTCGTTCATTCCATGACTACTTGTCGTGGACAGTCCCCACAAACCATCCACAAGTGAAACGGCCATCTTGTGATGCAGCTGTCAAATAGATTTCAACGGTGGCTGTTTCTTCGTCGGATGGTAAGGGGCACCTACGTAAATGCGCCCATGTAAAGGCTGGCGCCCTATTATCAGAGTATAAATCTCATGGTTTTCTTCACCATAGCAAAATGTCTTGTACCGAAGACCTTTCGCTAGATGTGGCTAATATGAATCACTGAAAGCTGTCGACTAAACGTACTAACCACCACCCCCTTACTACTTATCTCGTCCTCGATCACGACGGCCTAAATAAACGAAGCTGCTTGTGGAAAAAATAAATTGAAGTTAAGCGAATTTCGCGCAACTGTAACAGCGTACACCGGTAATGGAACGGACCGAATAAACAAACAGCCGAAAAATACGACAGTGTCTGAAGTTCAAGAGTAATCGTGTGTCAGGATCCAAAAATGTACCCCTTAGACTGGGGCTAGCTAAGAGGTGGCAAAATAGAGCTAGTGTGTAAACTTTGGAAGTTCCGTTGACATCATCAGTGAACGACAGGGTAGGTCACTCGCCCTACAAATATGTCGTGTGAATGGATCAAAAGTCAACCTGAGACTCACTATCATCGGGGCCAGGGAGTAAATGCAACGCACGGGTCGCGGCACTATCCAATCGAACGAAATTGTCCAGACTGAAAGGCTCCAAGGAGAAAACCCCGGCATTGGAGTCATCCGCTTTAAGCTGAAAAGTTCGAAGAGACTGCATCATAGCATCCAGAGAGAAAAAACGTATTGCTTTTAGCAACACAAATCGAATCACCTGATGAACATAAGCAGAGAATCGGTTATCTGTTTTTTAGTGTTTATACTGTGAATGCCTGCCCCAAATCGTCTAGCTCGCTGTACTGTTTGATCGGAAAAGCAAGTTGGGAACTAATTATTCTTGTTGTAATTCTATGCAAATTACAAAGTTGAGATGCCAGCAGTGTCCAAACACGGAACTTCGCGAAAACAGGTCCACGGGCGACGGAGGCGTTGGACTTCATCAGTGAAACACGGCTAGGGAGCCGCCAATTTATCCGATAAAATTTATGCTACTGACAACAGTTAGTAGCACGAAACAAAACGATTATCAAGCACAACCAACGGAATTCGCGCCTCACAACAGCAGGAAACTTACATCTAAGTATTTGATGATGGCTCCAAGGCAGGCCAACCCTTGCTTGTGCTCCAAAGCTGCGAAAATAGAACGAAATCACAAGTTCGATGCACCGGCATGAGTAAGGAATGAGAACAACCGAAAGAATAGGTATCTTGTTTCCCCTGACTCTATTTATCCCTGTGGAGCCCCTTCGGTCTGGTCGATATGCCTACAGACCATACTGATTGGAAATATACCGATGGTACAACAGCCATAGTGAAACGCTGTAGAGGGACCAGCATCGCATTTGGTGGGTACGGTCGGTACGGTCAAAACACGACCGAGGAATTTCACTGCGGTTCAAGTCACCATTGTGGTTCCAGCAAGGAATTTGCGAAGATCATTCTCTCAAAAGTTTATGAGACAGGAGGATGACTGAACCACAAACATTGTTGTCTGTGAAGGATGAGGAACCAACAAAGTCGCAGAAAAGGCTGTAAGGTCAAACTTCAGGAATAGAGCGGTACAACAAAACCTCAGGGCAAAGTCGGAATCAATAGCTATCAGACCACTGCTTCAGAATGGCAACTAAACAGACCAGGAGGCAACAAATTCTGAGAAAAAGGAACCAATGTCGGGGAAGCGAAATGCAAGCAAACCGCTAAGTAGCATATAGCCAGCTGAGAAGGTGCAACGAGCGATTCAGGAAGAAAGTCTTTCAGCAATCCATGAGCGGGAATGATAGGTCTGCAGAAACTGGACAGGCCGAGAAACTTCTATCCCAATTCCTTCCCCGAGGCACCAGTTCATCAAGGATAGGTTGCAACGAACGTGCAGTTAGTGATTTTTTCGCGGTTCCGATTCCAGACGCTACATAAAATACCATGCGTGACAGCTGGGTGTGATACAGTTTTCCGCACTAAACTTTTGTAACATACTTGGGATGAGAAAATATGTATAAATACAACGTGCTTGGCGAGGTGTGTTCAATTATGTGGAAAGCATGATAAAAGTCCTTTCAAAGACAGTCGTATTATTAATAATAAAAATGTAAAAAGTACAATTTGCAAAAAGATACCTTTGTTGTCTTGACTGATTCCTGTAGTCTGGATACCCTTGGGACGCCGAAGCAAGTAGTTTAAGTCCTGCGTCACATCTTGAAGAGCGAAATTATCTGCATGAAAGCAAAAGTGGCATCTCAATAAAGCGTGTCCATTTCAAAATTCTGCTTGAAATAGCGTAACAAAGAGCCATGTTCTCAGTTACTTGTGGTCATAGTTAACGGTAACGGGTGTCGAACAAAAGAACTGGGATAAAAACAATAACGCCAGTTGAATTCAGAAACCAGCTGAAATAAAGCTGATGTTACCGGCCGCTTTTCAACAGTAGTGGTCTGTTAGAGTTCCTATCAACCTCGTAAGCAGTGCTACCGCAAGAAATATAATGTAAGTTGAGTAGCGAGTCCCATAAGCTACTCGACACAAAGACAAAAGTAATAGGGCAATGGTTCTTCTGGAACGTACTTTAGAAGGAATTACTTTGTTCCTCCTGGAAACACCGCTACTCTCCTTCCTGACGTCAGCAACATTAACGAACATCCAGTAACGAAACATCAAAAGCAGAAATCAGTTGTTTAGGGAGCGAATTGCGAAGGTTGGTACAGTGCCTCACCGACATCAGGAACGCGCCTGTAATTTCCACTGTGATATCGATTTCAGATCATAGGAAAGCCCGATACCCGACAGAGGGCTAGAGGATAACTGTTAATGCAATCGTGAGGAGTTTTGAAAGACGACATCCCAGTAATGCGAAACAAGCGAGCCCTTCGGAAGGGGTCGATCTTTTTAGTGTGGACAAAATCGCAAGGACTCACGCGGAAAACGAAGGCTGGTACTTTAGCAGGTCACGGGCGTACTCATACTGACCTACTGGCTGGAAGTAAACAAGTGAGGTGAGAGAATTGTGTTTTGTTTTCTCATCACCGTCTGTCAGCACATTCTCCCATGGGGGGTATCATCAACCACACGGTCGATGGGACACTGCCAGGTTCCCACTACCACCTTACCTGTCGCTCTCTTTCACAACGGAGACCTGCGATATTGCAATGAGACGCAAGGGAAACGGCGGAGAAAGAAGGCACCCAAATGATAAACAAAAACTGGTGCAATCACCAATTGTTATACGATGAGCTCAGGATAGGTTAGTAGTTAATGCGCGAACTTACTGACTGGAAAGTTCATGGTTCGAACCCAACCACGGAAGCTGGATTACTGCTGTCAGGGGCCTGGGCAACCTGATATTATCTCAGCCTCAGTCGTCCTTTGTGGTAGCGTGGCAGCTAAGCACCGAAAGGATGTTACAGGTGAATAAATGGCGGTGTTAACGCCGAGCGATGGCCTACAACAGACTACTGGTCCTTTGCTCGAATAATTAAAAAACAGCGAGAATATGCAGTTCGTACGATACAGTGGGAATGGAATTAGCTAGTTGTAGTCCGACCTACGACAGTCATTAGTACTTACACAGGTTACTGAGTTCACTTAACTGACTGCACGCGTAAAAATGGAAAACTCACTCTTTTCCACTTCCGTGGCAAGGAAGCCGGCTCGTTGGAAAATCATGTTTAGATGTTCTGTCACAGTGGGATCCATGCCTTTTGTCTTGGAAGCACCATTGGATGCACCCAACAAACCAACTGGAATAAGGCATTCACGAGATTCCAACTGGACGAGAGCAGTCTCTAGGTTAGCCAGATGGATAGAATCGACGAATTCACCAACAACAAAACGTCTGCTCTCTTTGTCACAGAAGGCCAAAGAGACAACCTTTCAAAGAATAGACAACAGAAATTGTGTAAGCTATGGTGAATGGAGGTGGTCAGAGTTACGAACGAAATGCTCGGAAATTTTGCACACAGGTTGTACATGCAGATGTTCGCTTTCAACGCGATGCAACAGGTCTTAAACTGCATGGTTTTGTTCACTTGGGACATACACTGCACAATTTAGCCACTGCGCTTCACATAAATTTCTCACCTCAAAAATGTCTCTGAAATAACTCATAATAGAAGCTAAAAACCTCTCAATTCTACTAGGCATGAAAATGTGAGTGAATCGCATCATTCTTGTTGTAGCAGAGCATAGCGGCCTGTCCGTTTTTTTGAAATAGAGCTCGCCGGAAAAACGAGAACTTAGGCTGGATACACAAAACCCTGAGCTTTAAATATGGTGAAAAACATGGAACTTTAACATGGCGGCACGGAGCATAAAATAGGTGCCAGTTGAGATTCAATGCATTCAAGTTCGACTTCCGCGCTCTGGAAACTACATGACAGAAGATTTTTAGGGCGAAATGAGCGAAACGACTACTCCGTTATTGTGGCGGCTTGCAGCCACAAAAGTCTCTTTCCCGCGATTTCAGGCAACCTTTCCTAAAACAATGCACCAACAGATTCAAACCAATATCAAATACATTTGAAGCTCACACTGTCGAACGAACAACTTTTCGACTTATAGCCTTACATATACAGCAGCCTTCTCGTTGCTTGCTTCTTTCCTCAGATGTTGACCGGATGTTTTTGAGGAGAGGTTCCTCCATCCAATCACCAAACCATACTGTTAGCCTCCAGAGTAGACAACGAAGGGTAAGGCATCCGTTCAAACTCTCGTTCAGAGATAATACCGAAAGGGTCATGGTTCCTTGGGGTTAGATTAACAGTCATTAAACCAAGAGTGACAATTATTTGGTGAATGGCTTCTTGATTTAATTGTGTATCGTTTGATAAAATAGGGGAATACGAACCATAATATGGATGATATGAACATGCGAGTGTTGCATGAGCTCTTAGTGTTGTATCGATATGAGTCAAGAAAACCAAAACGCCTGTAACAGACGAGTTGTACACGATGGCAAATATACTGAAATACTTTTATCGCTTCGTCATTCTTTCGAAGGAGGACCGTAATCGTTAAAACATAAAAACGCTACGTGTTCCCGAGATTACTACTAGTCAAGAAGTCTCATAGAAACGCACAGCATAATATCGATTTGGAATTCGAACATGCGACAACTCTGTGCATTGGGCTGACGCCACAATTCTGCCGATATATCTGAACACGATCGATCCATTCAAGGTTCCGACAATATCAACTGCCGACGGATTCGGCAATCACGTCGGTGTAGTACAGTGGAAAAAGACCTTTACATCTCAACTTACCAGCTGGTCATCAGTCCACTTCAGAAAGATCGAAGTTATCCCTGTGAATTCCACAGCCGATTGACTTTCCAGTAGAATGTCTTCTAACTGTTGCAGATTTCCCGGGGATGCCTAGATTGTCCATAGCTAACATCACTTAATAGAGTTCAAATACCGTCAGTTTCAATGTCCATTCGTTATCCCGGCCAGATTTGGTGGCTGCTGTGTAAATTTCCACTCGATATTGTCTTTTCAGTAGAAAGTGACGCAGAAAGTCAGTATTTGACTTTTTAATGGTTATGTATGCTAAGCTAGCGTGTCCTGCTGAAACATAAATCCAGGGTCCTCGTAAGTTGCGAACTTACCTGTATGATAGTGTTTGACAAGAGATACATTGTTGAAATACTCTCGAGCCACCAACATGGCATCAGTATCATGTAAAGTGTATATTTCCTGAAGAAAACATAAGCGCTAACAAGCGTGAACCCTACTCCACGTTCAAAGCAACGAAGTGTGGTGTGAGGCTTCTTGTAAAAGGAGGTGAAGGGTAAACAGAAAGGAAGACTTACTGGACCAAGAGATCGCCAAAACAGGTAAAAGTTGTCACCTGTTGTTTTAATAGAAACAGAAATATGGAGAACAGACCTGGATTCATCGTTGCTTGAAAGTCTGAAAAGGGAAACAGAGTATCACACTAATAGGAGGTGGTTTGAGAAGCTCTGTTCTTCGTCCTACTAAATGCGTGGATGTATCAGCACGGCACAGTTCCAATCCCGAGCGTAAGATGCTACTGCTTTCAGACGCGCAATCATCAGCAGTACCGGCGGTCTAATTCGAGATATCCACCCAGATATACGATTAACAAAACATCATCAACTTGAGGTACGCAAGGAGCATAGAATCCCAAGAAATCATTCCCAGAGAGGAAAAAAATCATTGCTCCTTTATCGTGACTCATTTCGTAGAAAGGAGAAACCGACACATGACTACCGCCATGATGGATTCTCTGAAAGTTAGTTGGGAGTTGGGGATCAGCAGAATTGTAAGCACAGTTTTTAGGGTAATGCCCAGGACCTTCAACTGAGAAACGTGAAACCGCATCAAAATAACCCCATAAGGAACAGTCCCAGAGAGGGGTACATTGACTGAACCAACACTGCTGACTGATTCAGCACCGATTCATGCAAGCAAAAAGCAAATGACTCCTGATAGCGACAATGGTGCGGAATATTGGTATCAGTAAGGTCGCTTCCTGAAAGCAACCACTGAATGCCCGAAATCTAGCGAGACTCCCAGCTCCGCTAGGTGTTGACCAGACAGACAACACCCCCTCAATATGCAGCGCGTCACAGACTTGTATCAAACCCAGACAGCGCGAATCAGCGTTGATCAAGGTCAGACAACGCCCCCGTAATAGGCAGCACGTCACCTCATACCAAAGCCAGACAACATGAATCAGCGCTGGACCAAATTCAGTGTCCTTCCAATAAAATAGCTTGAGGTCGTTGTACTTTTCGCACTCGTACGCACTCTCGCTCTCGCACTCGCTTGTTCGGAATATAGCTGTTGTGTTCCCTTCTGTGAATCTTTCTCCGGCAACTAAGCACTGGAGCGGGTCAGCAGCAGATACCTCAGATTGGTGAATAAGCAGACATAACAATAGGTAACCCGGGTGCACTGCTTGGTTGTTGGTCCGTTTGCAATCCAATTGCCAAGCTCAGCGAACGGACCAATCATATGTTTTTATGTTATCATTAGTGAGCAAATTCATGAGCTTCGTTTGCGCCTGGCGGTTCGCACAGTTTGGGTGTGTGGTTCTAACTAGGAGACCACTCTGGAGTGGATATCCGACTAGATTTCCAAACTTGACTATTTCTAATATGAGAATCTATGGATTCGCACCAACGTCATTGTCACAATCAGCCACTTTAGTCTCCTCAACGCCACGAAGGTCAGCGTCAGCGTCGTGTAGTCTTGCACAAACCCTGGTTGAAACCCCTCTAAGGTTCAGTTTACCCTAAAACTGAACGGCACGGTTAACGTGGAAAGAATGACAAGCACATTTTCATAAATAGTGTACTCATAAAACGCTGTACAAAATATTGCAGCCAATTTCAGTAAAATTAGCTCCCCAGGTGACAGAAAGCACATCAAAGCTCATCAGCGGCCCGTCTGGAGGCAAGGGATTCATCAAATAGTTTACGGACTCCCACTACAAGGTTCAGCATGTCTTGGTAAAACAAGTCATTCTTGTTTTCTGGAAGGGCTAAGTACGCAGCATACTCCTGTTCGAATTCTTGAAGTAACGAGTACACCTCCGGTTGCACCTTGTCACAAAATGGGTGCAAATGAAGCGTGGCAGAGAGCAGTTCCTGACGTGGTCCATGAGTGGAAACAGTGTTTACGCGGTCAGCAGAAACTCCCTTGGGCATATCATGCAACAAGGAGTGATATAGCCGGTCACACCATCCGGAACGTACCAGGGCGGTTTCGAATTCGGTTCTAAAAGGATGACACATTGCAAAAAAGAAGTTCATGGTAAGGATGTGCAATAAAAAATGTTACGCGTCTATCATCGCCACTGTATGCAGTAAGAAACCGTCAAAATATCAAGGTCATACTGGGAAATTGATGGTCAAGAACAGATGTGGAAAGAAGAAGCATTTTTTCCTTTATGGTGGGATTTTGTGAAGAATTTTGACTACCCAAGGGTGGTCCGCACAAGGAATATTACAACGGACTCTACAACACCAATAAAATAACCGTATCGAATACGCACACAGGTCAGCACGTGGTTGCCTAATTCGGTTTTACGACCTGGCGTGTTTGTGTGTACGTGCGAGATAGCCCAAGTGGTTAGAGAGCGAACTTACTGACCGGAAGGTCCGTGGTTCGAACCCAACCTCTGCCTCTCGACTTCCCCTGTCTAGGCTTGGGCAACCTGACAGTATCCCAGCACTCGTGCAACCTTCGGGTGGCATGGCAGTTAGGCACTGAAAGGGTGCTACAGCTGAACGTGTACGTGCCTCAGTCCTTGATTTGGTGTCGATTTGGTCACAACAGGAAGTATGTGCAAACTGTTATTACAATACGTCCCTAGGCTTCTTCATTCTGTGTACCGACACAATGTTGCATTCGTCCAATGACAGTTAATAATGAGTTGGAGATTCCTGCATGCAATTCGCGTCGTAAAATAAGTCAGGTTTGCATTGTGGGTTATAACCAAAAGCACCACGATAGTGAACGCGTTCGCCTACGCCTATATTTCACACGTTTCGCTCCCGAACCGAAAGGGATGACTATCTGGCAGGGTAAACTCAGCATGTATCCACTCTGAATCACAAAGTACAAATACTAACAGATACGCCGAACAGCTGTTTCTCAGATGAACAGTTCTGTATATAAGCACAGTAGGTATTGTATAACCAACGTGACAACCGAATCATTTTCACTGACTTTTGCAGTGCCTTGGTGAATGTCTTCACTGCTTGGTTTCTGATTACTTTGGTTTAAATTCCACAAAGGAGGAATTGGACTTCATTGGTCTCCGTACCTACGGGCTTGCATAAATACGTATGAGTGAAGTGCTGACTAAAAACAACTGACAATATGGGCTTTCGTCGAAGTGTACTTCATATCATCGTGTTTGTGTCAATAATGCATTTCGTCTTTTTCGTCAGTTTCTTGGCACCTCACTACTCAACGGAACGATTTAGGTGAAAGTCAAAAAGACTAATCTTGCCGTGGAACACAGTTTAAATTCTGATTTGCCACTTAAGAGCTGCGTGCGTTCAAATATATTACGTGCGCCAACTAAGGCACACTACGCTACATTGCTATACTAGTGTTGTTCAATACTACATAGCCAGGCGACTTCTGAGATAGTTAAACCAGATCTGCGACCTAAATGTGTCTAATAGCTTCATTGCTGAAGCAACTTATAGGATCCGGTCAGCGAAGAATCTTACAGGACGATTTGAGCTATTGGACTATACGCAGCTCATATTCAGTAGGCAGTGGGACCAGAAGGATGAGGGCAGTAGATGCTGTATTGAGAACTGCTTCTATGAACGAATGAATTGACCAGAACCTACAGTCAGTAATAGCGCAAACGACTGAAGCAGAAAAAAGGACAGTGAGCCGACAGGGCTTTCTGAAGGCAATAGCTAGTAAGTACCAAATGATATACAAACGTACGGATACGGGCAATCAGGCAGTGTATATAGATCGTATATAGATATAAAAACCAACGCAGAGACGGTCACTACGTTCGGGAGGTAAGGGAAGTTGTCTGGAAAATGAGTATCGAGTGAATTCGGCGAAACTTAATTACACTTGCAATCTGTAGCCTATGACGCGACACGGCAACACGCATCACGTGTCAAAGCAGAATGCGCGCTTAGGCCCGTTTGAAAGGATTCTTAAGAAGAATATATGATAAGACACAATACAAAAGTAATGATTACAGGGCAGCTCTGTTGGTGAGGTGGATAGCGTGCTCATCCGTCATCTGAGGGGTTCAGAGTTCGATCCCCAGTCGGCAGCATTTTCCGTCGGAGTGGACACTTTAAATTGGTAGACTCAATACACAATTGCAAGCGAAGATGGGCAGGCAACAACATTTTTACATCAGTAGCTAGAGAGTAAGCAGACTTTAGTAGGAACAAAGACTCAGGTAACGAGTAGCAAGGAAGAAAAACGGAGTTAGGATAAACATGCCTAAATTGTATTACTCATGTTTAGTTAATACAATAGAAAATACAACTGCTGACAGAGGTCGATTCGCAGGAGGAATCAGCACATCTTATGCAGGGGTTATCATGGTGGAAGCAGGCAGTCCAGCTGAAGGCCCCCGGGGAGTCGGACCTGGATGCCGAAAATGATAAATCATGATCCCATTCACTTAGCCCCCAAAACGTCGATCTAGTAGTACGCCACACAGTGCGTCCACAGGGGCATCCTAGCCAACTGGTCGCCAAGCTTCACTAACGAATCTACTGGGCCAAGGTCAGGTCCGTTCGATAGTGCCATAACAGTAAGAAGACAGTCTATTTACCAATATCGACATAGCAACCCTACACTTGCAAAGGTCTGTTACTGAAACAGGTGCTTGAAGGATTTTGGCGAGTAAGAACCTCCGGTTTGCTAGTTACTGCATTGCGGGTCGGTGTTGTCATAGTATTAGCAAAGTGTAAATGGGCTGACAATGTCGACATCACCATTTGGACTGATGCAGCACATGTTCACAACAACTGAAGACCGTAAACGCCACTAATGAGTATCATGAGTGATTTTTCTGGTGTTTATATTGTGGTGATACCCAGGGCAGAGATCACGCCTTGGTTTCTGCTTGCACTGGAGGCAAATTTTTCCACCTTCGAAGCCCAGCATCAGGCAGCCCTTGAGCACTGTCCGTGTGGCTGCGTCAGCGAATTTTCAACCAACCTTGGCTTATCGGAGTGAATACAGTAGACAAGTGTCGTGTCGACGATGCACCGCTGACTGACAACATGCAGTCCATCGCATATCGACGGGGAATAGAACCTTTGAGCCTTTTTTACCGCAACTATCACGGTAAGTGTTCTCCGGAGCTTGGTTGTAATGTTCATAATCTCATTCCGCTTGTCACCGAAAATGTAGCTAATGCATCCAAGCATCTATCCGAACATTCTGTTGATCTTCGTCCCTTCCCAAAACAACCAAATAATAACACTACCTTCTGTTCTACCGCACCTTCTTAGTCTTCGTCTCCTGAAACCACGAGGAATCATGTGCTTTGTGTGGTTTTCTTGTTGTTTACAGTGAATGCTCTGTGTTGGAGATACACCACGCCCTCCCCCCTTAACTTCACTTTTTCATGTAACAAAAAAAGAGTTAGTGATTAACAGAGCTGCTAGCTGAAAGTTCAGGGCTTCGGATTCATCCCTATCTGAAGTTGAGGTGAGATGGCTCAGTGGTTAGGGCACGAATTTACTGACCGAAAGGTCCGTAGTTCGAACCTGACCTCTCTCCGTCTAGGCTTGGGCAACCTGGCAGTATCCCAGGCCTCGTGCTTCCTTCGGTGGCTTAGGCACCAAAGGGTGTTACAGCTGAACGATTATCTTTTATCATCTGTCTGAACTTAGCAGTATCTGTTCATCACGCTTCAAGTAGTGCACATACCAAGTACCAAGAAAGCGACATGCAAATGATTCGACGCGCTAAAAAAACTTGTCAGGTCCGCCTACTTCAGATAATATTAAAAGACCATGTACCTTTCAAATGCACACAGTCACTTCAGTGGAAGTACTGAGGTAAGCGCCCGATAGTTCAATCCCAGAAAGTGCCGGGTGTCTGTTGACTGTAACTACTATACTTGGTCACAATCAATCAGCAAAGTCGATTCAACTTTCACCCACATTCAGCATAAATCAAGAACAAGCAGAAACAACCTGGAAGCAAATTTCGAATCACGTTGTCCTTGCTTAAATGATTCCACGGAACTGCGAAAGTTGCGTCAAACCGTTACCTATTTGAAACAAGGAGACGAAGACCCACAAACCGAATAATTATTCACGTGTACGCACTGAGCTCCTGATGGTTTAATGGATAAGACCTGAGCTCGAAAAGTGGTCTATGGCAGAGGAGCTGCAGAGTCCCCTGTATACTAAACAATCAATTCATACTATTGTCTGTATTACAAACATATTAGCTTCATCATCCGCTAAAAAACAGTCAAGTTACCACACAGTTCACTCTCGCTACGACGTCAGCTGTCTACTTTTTGAAACGAGGGCGACGTCATAACCAAATCAACGCTACTTAGGAAATCAAGGTGAAATCATTTTAACTGGTTGCGAATCATTTAATGGCAACAGCGGCTGTGATTGTTATGCTAGTTCATACTACTCAATGTGGTGGCAGGTTTGCCATTACCTAGAGTAGTGGCTTTAAACCACATATCGTTTCCACGGCTTCCAAAGTCGTCGTTCAGTTGTGGTACTCCTTCTGTGTCTACCTACCATAACAGCCAAAGGAACCACGAGCGCAGGGATCCTGTCAGATTGCTTCGACAGGGGTCATTGAGATGCCGGAGGTGGATTCGAACCAGGAGCCTTCCGGTCAGTATGTTTTTTAACAGCTGAGTCATCTTGACCGGAATTCCAAAGGCAACTACACCTTGGAACCGATTGAGTGATCATCGTTCTCGAAAAGGTTCGGTGACAAAAGGTAGATTTATTGCTGGGCAACGTTTCGCTTTTGACACAAAAGCTTCGTCAGGCCAAGTGACTAGGTCCCGAGGTTGGTCGAGATTAAAGGCGGAAGGAGAACCACTTAGCTAAGTCAAGCTAAATCTCTGTTGGGTGTCGGCCGAGGGATTTTTGTGTGTTAGGGTGGGTGAACAAGTGTTGGGCCGATGGGGAAACCTACGTGCTTGGGTCCAGCTTAGGGTCCAGGTCTTCTGGTTCGGTTCATTTGTAATTCCCCTTGAACTTCATTTGAACCTTCTGTTAGTCTGTGTG